TTTTTTTGATTTTTTGGAATAGGAAACAATATATATATATATATATATATATATATATATATATATATATATATAAACAGTATTTAGGGAAGATCAGTTGTACAAATTATTTCTTTATTAACATAATTAACAAAAATAAAGAGAAAAAGATTTGTATACCAGTAGTATTAAAAGTATATGAAGTCAAGTTAATACTTTTTATATTGGTAAAATTAGAAAATAAACATATATATATATATTTCTAAATAAATAAGTACTTAAAATTGTTATGAAAATTTAGGGAAAACATTAAACCCGTTCTCACCCGATGGCATTCGTCCTCGATAACCGCCCTCGCACATTGAACGGTGGATGCGCGATCCATTTGATCGGACGGCTCTTATCGATCCATCATCACAACTGTGTGTGTGTCTCTCTCTCATAAGGAGCAAATCCGCACCCGCTTGCTCTCCCCGATAAATAAATAAGCACCACCTCGCCTTCCCTCCCCCATCTCCGATCGAGAGACAGGCTTCCGATGGCAGCAGCTCCACCGTTCCCACAGGAACCCTAAGAGACCAGAGACCTTAAGCCCCAGATCAGATCCATCTCCCACCACTCCGTGGGATGTGGCGCCCGATGGGATCCCGAGGCTGCGCCATGGACGTCCTCGGAAGCGCCAGCTGCGTCGTGGCGTGCCTCCTCGGCGGGCTGCTCCTCGCGCTCTCCCTCCTCTCGCCGCCGCTCTCCGGGGCGCGGCTGCCTGGGATCCGGCGGAGGCGGAGGAAGCCCGTCCGGGTCTACATGGACGGCTGCTTCGACATGATGCACTATGGACACTGCAACGCCCTGCGGCAGGCTCAGGCGCTCGGAGACCAGCTTGTTGTCGGGGTTGTCAGTGACGACGAGATCACGGCTAACAAGGGGCCTCCCGTCATTCCTCTCCACGAGAGGTATGTAGATCTTCTTATGGGTTTCTTGAGAAGTTCCTTTTAGGTTTCGTTGCCTTTTGTTATTTTAATCTTTCTTTCCAACTTTGGTAGGTTTGTAGTCGTTATTTATTACTATGGTTTCCATTATTCAATGAATTGTCATCACTTATTCTTCCTGCCATTAATTTTGTTAATCATAAAAACTTTAATTTTTTTGGTTAGCTATGCGTTTTCATTTTTTTTTTTTTCCCACATCTCATTGTGAACTACATACAATTAATGACAATCTCTAACTTGAGTTTGACGGAGTCCTTTGGTCACTGGTCAACGCAATCTAATCGCTCATATGTTCTCTCATTAAGAAAAAAGTCTTTGATGTCATAAACTCAATCTTAAGCACATATATTTTCTTTTTAAATATACAATGTCTGATTTTTTTTTTGGGATTCTTTGATTGTTCACTGGCTTTTTTTTACCTTTGCAATTAATTACGATATACTAAATTTTCGTTCGCTGATTGGTTTTGCATGATGCTCACCTCTAAAATTCTTTAATATTTAATTTGGATATTCTTGAATGCGTGTCATCACCTTTTGAGCACCTGATATCGATGACCAGTTTATATATGTTGCTACCATTCTCTGTTAATATTAATATGCCAGAATCCCTACCACGCTGCCCTTTGAAACTTGTGAGATGAGACCAACTTTATTAATCTTTACATTACTGCTCCTGATATTGACTGATGTTCCTGACATTGCAAACTATTGATAGAAACTTTTATTCTTTCTCTAGTTTTTGGCATTCCAGTTCCATACCTCTCTTACCTGAGTTTTTCACTCACATACTTCTTGCATAATTTTAATATTTTCTAGAACTCACTTTTGGTCTGATCATCTTGTCACATCTTCTAATACATATTTTAATGCTAAAATTTTATCCAACTTTCTTCACCTGTACAACAATGTCCTTATCTAGGGCTATCAATCTCCCTATATATTTACCCATCAACTTAATTTCTTATAAATAAGCTATGTTGATTCACCTTCTATTCATCATCTTCATTTATTTTAACCCATTCTTTGAAAGTAATTCCATATTCCAAGTTGTTTTTCTAATGGTATGACTCGAGGATAATTTCTGTACTCACACTGGTCTTAACTCAGTACTGGAACCATTGCATCTTTTGTATAACATATGGGTGCTGATGTAATTGATTACTTTCAATTGATCTCTTAGCCTACCCTTTACATTTTAAGGCACTCAGATAGTGAAGATGCTTCATGCCATTTTCCGATGAGGACCTAGCCTTGCAATAAAGTCATGATAGAGTTGTGCTCATAAGATCTGAGAATTTTTTTGTTTTTGTTAGTTTTTGACTGCCTAATGCAATCCTCCTTTTATGGCACTTGGTACTAAACAGAGAAGCAGTGGTCACTGATCCCTGATAGTTGGATTTCAAATTAAATAGTGATATTACCTAAATAGAGTTTAATGACATGGAAGGATGCATGTAGCTGCCACCAAATAGTTGGGAACAACATCATTGTGGTTTTCTCTTGACAATCAAATGAAATGATCAATCTTTTTGTGAGCCTGAAAGTTGAATGCAATTGGGCACTTTTTCATGAATATTGTGTGAGATATCATTGACATTTTTCCCCTCAAATTACATTTCATAATGATCATTATTAAGTCATGAGTGTAGTCTCACCCCTAGTGAAATCTCTGTAAATGCATAGATGATAATGCACATGTGGACACAAGACTTGTTTCTACGTTCAGCTCTTAACTAGTCGGCCTTGTATAGAATTCATTCTTTCATTCTTTCTTCACTTAAGATTTTCAAAAAATCAATGCATCTTCTTATCTATACAACACTGCATAATCTGTAAGTATGACGCTTTGAGTTAGACACTGCATAACATCCAATTATATAATTGGTAATTTGAATTGGATATGATAAGTAGCAATGTCTTCTTCTTTAATGTTTTGGCCTTGTAATTAATTGAGCACAAAACAGTAACAAGCTTGTCGCTTATTTCTTTATATTTTTCATAACTCAAATTATGACTTTAGTTTTAAAAATGACATTTAATGGGCCTCAGCTAACTATATTATTCTCCATGTAATTATTTTATGTTTCATCCTTTTGGTAGGATGTTAATGGTAGGTGCAGTGAAGTGGGTTGATGAGGTCATTCCAGATGCTCCTTATGCAATCACTGAAGAATTCATGAATAAGCTATTCACCGAATACAACATAGATTACATAATCCATGGGGATGATCCTTGTCTGCTGCCAGATGGTACTGATGCATATGCCCTGGCCAAGAAGGCTGGTCGCTATAAGCAAATAAAAAGAACCGAAGGAGTGTCAAGCACTGATATTGTTGGTAGTCATCCTGCTCTAGCTCTTGCTTTTCTGTCTATGTTCATCCTTAATCTGTAATCAGGCATATCAAAATTGAAAATACAATCTGTTTAGTACTTGGGATGATTCAGTTGTGGTATTAGCATGAAGGATTCAAATTTCGTGATATGACAAGTTTCACTCTAAATAATGTATATGATATGTCAATTTAATCCACGTGAAAGACCTCTTCCTAAAAGTAAATGCACCTATTTGGTAACAAATAACATTTGCATACCTCACTTTCATAACTTGGTAAGTATCTGGACCACAGCTTATTTTTCTTTTGTCATGTTGGTCAAATTTTTAGTCAAATTCTTAATCAAAATTTGGAAACTTATTAACATTATTCTATTATTTAATATAGTGTTTGGTCTGCTTTGGAGTATTATATACTTTAACTCATGCAGTTGGGATAAACAGGTCGCATGCTTCTTTGTGTAAGGGAGAGATCACTTGGTGGTAGTCATAATCATGCTTCTTTGCAAAGGCAGTTCAGCCATGGGCACAGCCAGAAAGTCAATGATGTGGGGTTTGGCACTGGAACTCGGATATCCCATTTCTTGCCTACATCTAGGCGAATAGTGCAATTTTCAAATGGCAAGGTAAATTCATTGAGAGACTTTTGAAGTTACAATTACATAATTAATCATACTAATTTATATTATTTGTTTAGTGTATTTTTTCCTGATTGATGTAAAGTTCATTTTCTTGACGTTCTTTTTTGTTGAAGGCAATAAATAGACTTCTACAGTTTGAGATTTGGTTATGATCTCTTGGAAGCATGTATTTGCAGTCCTAATAATACTTAATTCCAAGGTTCGCAATACCGTACTGTACCGGTATTTTGACCTGGGCTCGGTACCGGTACGGTACGGTGTACCGAGCACTGTAGCACTGCTACAGTGCGGACCGGTACCGGGCGGTCTGCATACCGCTGGCCTGTCAGACCGGTACGTACCGCCCATACCGGGCGGTATGATTCGGTATGGCAGACACTGTTAATTCAGTTGTTAAAATTCATGTAGCACAGTACATTTGATATAACAATTCATAATGTCATATTACAAAGTCGTCCTTGTCATTTTTTTTTTTTGAAGCTCAAACAAGGTCATTTTCTTGCATTCATCATACCTTTCTGAGATGACTAAACTACTGATAATAATGAGTCCAGCAGCTACTTTGACAAATCCAATATGGGAGAAGGATCAACTTCTAAGTATGAAAATTGTATCCAAGGGCAAGCATATGTGATTTTTTTGTATATGAGCAACAAGGAAAATATCTCGAACCTGATACTTGAAACTTTCGATAAGGCCTTCTTTTAGCACCTTTGCCCTTGCCTTTCCTATGACACTCTGTTTTTCGAACTGATAATTACTTCTCCTTTGATTTTTTGTGTTTATTAAATTAATTGTTCAATGAGCATGCATGCATTACTTCATTTAATCTTGTCCACACGTCTGCTGAATTTTTCAAAGTAACTCTGTTGCTGCATGTTGAGCAGCAATGTGTTTATACATCAAGAACATGTCTTTCACATAGAACTTGTTTTGGCCATTTTGTGTTCATCACTCAGTATCATGATCATGTATTTGTGTCTGACCATTCATTAAGCAGTAGAAAAGTTGAGCTCAGAGAAATTTCAGGGAGAAGTGTTCTGTTGTAGATGGATAATTGTCAGTTAAAAGCATTGTTTTGAACTCATGGAGGAGTAATGTATTCTTGTGGTGGTGTTTTAAAGTTCAAAAAATTGTATTTTTCCATATAATCATTGTAAGGTCTAAGTACTTTTTAATTATATTATTTGATAATTGATATAATTGCACAAAAAAAATCTTGACAACCCATGTTTTCTTTGTGCATGGTTTGTGCTACTGGCTTATTAATTTGTAGGCTTTTGTTTGTTTTACAGTTCGAACATGTTGTCATTCTTATCTAATTCACTGCCACTATTTTCATACAGGGTCCAGGCCCTAATGCTCGGATAGTGTATATAGATGGTGCATTTGATTTGTTCCATGCTGGACACGTGGAGGTATACTATAGCTTTATTTTCTCCCTGTTCTCTTCTCTCTGAAAAATACATTTGGATTATATGACAAAACCAGAATTCATTGGGAAAATGGATTTTTATATCAGTTGCTCTGGTTTTCCTTGCTTCATTCGGTTATTTACTCCTCATAAATGATTCTCCTTTTTATGATCGAACCCTTTGTCATGCCCACTTCTGGAATATGCCTCTCCATCAGTTTTATATACTTTTGGCTGCTTCTTGGCTTTTGCATATAGATTTTGCTCTAGCTTATGGCTGCTAACTTCTTACATGTGAAAATAGATTAGATTGAAGATTTTAGTGTCTTGGTCTTAATTACCTATGTTTCATGAATTTTCTTGCCACTCTTTTTCCATTTTTCAGCTAATTGAGCTTTATTTTCCTTCATATTTGTACTTTGGTTCTTGTTACCATAGTCCTTACAAGCTCAGGATTTACTAGATCCAAGTTCTCCTGGAGTCTAGCTTAGTTGAGTAAGGGACTTCAATGTTAAAAATAAATGAAAAATGTTTTCAAAGATGGAAAGGAGGCAGCAGCAAAGGCAGCACCAGTAAAGAGGAGGGTAGCAAACAAAAAACAGATTTTTGGTATTGACAACAATTGCAATTTTTTTAGCTTCTTGCTGTTCGAATATTTGGTCTAAGAATTCCAATTGGGTTGTTAATATTTAAATAACAGAAGACAAAAATGATTCTAGGTAGGTAGATTATGAAGTTCCTCGGCAACAAAGGGAGTGTTATTGGCAGAAAAGGAAGAAGCCTAAGATGATGGAAAAAGAAAACATTAGAGGTAGCATCTACAAGATCAGAGAATATATTTATGTAGGAAAAAAGCGAAGAGAGGAAGCAAAAGGGGAATTTGGCTGCAGGAGGAGAGATAGAAAAAGAGAAATGAGATATTACAATTAAGCAAGAGAGTGTAGAAAGAAGAACCTGATGATGTGAAACCTGGCCATCAGATCTTTATCCCCTTTTCTCTTTAGGGAAATCTTCGTAAAGCATCTTTCATTCTTTCCATTTTTTAACAAATAAAACTTTAAAAAGAATAACTGAGACTTCTAATTCTTTTAACTAAAGTCTAAATCTAAATAATTGCATGACATATAATTTAATTAGTGATAAATATGGAGTTATGTAAAAAAAATGTATGGCATAATATATGTATTCTCTGTAGGTGATCGGGACTTTCAAAAAGGTGCTAGTGATGCTTAGCCCTACAGTCTGTACCTCAGTAAAACCTATATGCTTTAACAAAACCGTGACCAATGACTAAATTTAGGTGTGTCTGGCTTCTAGCAAAGGCTACTTTGATTGCTAGTGATCATATGTCTAGGATTGTATAACAGTGAAAATTTTCATTTGGCTGCAAAGCTACTACACTTGCTTCAAGCTTACTTAAGGCCATTCTTATCCCTGAATTAATTTTTTAGGAACTCATTCTTTTGTGGAGGGTGGCAGAAGTAACAAATGAAGAAGGTAGACAAATAAAAAAGAGGTAAGAAGAACAGTACAACAGACTAAGAGAGTGAGGTAAAAAGAATCTGATTGGTGTGTACCTTGTGATCACCAACTCGCAGATCCTTTTCTGCTTCCAATAGCAGGAAACCATCTCATATATCATTTTGCCTTGTTTTGTTTCTCAATCAATGGAATTCTTAACATCTTTCATAAGCAGATTTACGCTGAATAGGTGCACCACTTAGAATCAATAGTTAGTAATAACTAATAAGTCTTGCTGTGTAGACACTAATTACTTCGGAGAAAGCTCAAAAGTTGTGCAGTTTTGTCATGCCTGTAAGTCTTGATTATTCATGGGTCAAATTCTAAACCTTGTTAAGTCTTTCTCATATATCTGATTACACTGCTTCATCATACTACCATATTGGCAATCTTAACCATCTGATGTTTAACTCTAGTTCAAGTTAAAATACTCAATACTTGAAGTTGAAAAGTTCTGTCAAAACATATTGTTATGTAATAAAGTCACTGAGAAACCAGTGGTAGAAATTAACAAGTTAATATTGTGAATTATGACTTTTCTGAAATACTCTCTCTTAAAGGTGTCCTGTAGTTTGAGTGCTTCATAGTAAATCTTGTTGCACTGAAAAATACTTTGCTCTTGCTTCCAGGTTACTTGGACATTGTGTTTTCTGAATTAACTTTTAATATTCCCCATCTGCTGTATCATTTATCCAGTTGTAGCACCATGAAGTTTTCAGTCATATTTTTCTTCTAAATTATTGTTTGCAAATTTATTGATATTTTTTCCTGGCCTTGGTTTTGAGATGAACTTTCTATTTGTGCTTTATAAAGTTTTTGTCATTGCTCTCATTGCTTTCCTACCAATGATTAATGTCAATTTTGTGTACAGGTACTACGGCTTGCTCGAGAACTTGGAGATTTTCTACTTGTCGGAATTCATACTGATCAGACAATTAGGTTTCTTTCTCACTTTTCGATTCCTATCTTTATCAATTACTTCATTTTTTTTTTTCTAAATTGTTGTTCCTATATATCTCTCATTCTAAATTGTTAGTTCACTAATCCTCTCTTTTTCAGAGAATAGATAATTCATATTTTGTTACCATGTGCAGTGCTACTCAAGGACCCCATCGTCCAATCATGAATCTCCATGAGAGAAGCTTGAGTGTCTTGGCCTGTCGTTATGCAGATGAAGTGATTATTGGTGCCCCTTGGGAAGTTTCAAAAGATATGGTAGGTAAAACATGCATTTATATTTTATGATCTTAATTTCTTAGAAGAGGAAAACAATTGTTGCATGCTTACGTTAAAAGATATGATGAAGTGAAGTCTTAGCATAAATCACCATGAGTTTCACTTTTCTTGAATGAATTTCAAATCTCAGTAATCTTAGTAGCTTAAAAGAGGCTGCAAGTTTTTGGCTAAGTGCATCTTGATAGGGTAGTTGTGTTTCTTAGCATTTTTTCTTCCATTAGTAACTGACATAGTTCTCAGAAGTTGTGTGGTTTCTTGGCAAAAGATATCCTTGTAAATTTTTTCCTGAATAAATATTCTAATTTGTGTTGTTTACCTTATTAAAATGTTCATTGATGTCGAGGAATTTGAAGTGCTTGGTTTCTTTGGCAATCCACTTCATAAACAAATTAACTTGCACTTGGTTGTCAGGGGTGAGGGCTGCCTGTTTATTCTGAGCTTTGATGAAGCCTTATGTTTAATGGATGTTGATATCTTTTTGGAAATATTTTTGTTCAATCATAAATCAAAATTTGTCCTTTAGAACGCCAAGAATATTCTTGTACCTGTACTAATGTGCTAAAGCATAATCATGTCTTGATCTTTATTTGAATACCCATGATGCTGGAATGTTTATTTTAGTTTTTCAATTTTGAAATCATGGTTGTACCTGTTGGCATTTTAGTCTTCTGTTAGACCATTTTGTTTAGATTTTTTGTGCAAGGCTACTGTGACTCCCATCTATTGTAACAGAGGGGATGTCTACTAGTCTTAGTTTGTGCAATAGCAACGTTTTTTAAGGTTTCTTTGTAAAAGGGTTCTCTTTGAGATTTGGATTTCCAATCCGATTGTAATTCATAAGTTCAGGTTTCTATTCTGGTTAACCATTCTTACATCTTGAAGCTTTTAATAAGATGTTCTGTGCTCTAGACATGGTTTAAAATACTGATCAAACAGATAAATACTGACTCGCTTGCCATTCTGACCAAGCACAGCTAAATGGACCATACTGTTTGGTTTCACTCAACATATCAAATTTATTTATTTTTCCAATGGTACCAAGTAGTACAGTCTTCTTATGACTCAGTATCTCAAGACCATATCAGTCAGTTGTACAGGTTGTTGAAACCAGTCTTGATTGGTATTGAAAACCTCGGGTCTAGAAGTAATTTTAATTTTAATTTGTATTGAGTGTTGACTTAAGGGCAGGTTTCTTAACTTCCAAAAAGCACTTTCTTCTTTGTTCAAGTTTGTTTGAGCCACTTGCTTTTGATTACATGAATATTTGAATTTGTGAATGAGCTATTTATTGGATCCATCCATATGCTTACCATTGGTATTTCTCCTACATAAGGTGACATTTCTTATTTGCCTGTTAGACTAACTTTGGTATTTCCACTTTTATGAGTTTACAGATTACTACCTTTAACATCTCCTTGGTTGTTCATGGTACAGTAGCTGAATATATGGATTTTTCAAAGGTACCTTGCTGATTTTTGGATCATATAATATCGCAAAAATGTGAATAACCAGATTAAGTATATTACTGCCTGACTAACTTTACAGGAAGAGTCGAACCCATATGCTGTTCCAATGGCTATGGGAATTTATAAGCAGTTGAATAGTCCGTTGGACATCACGACTAGTACAATCATCAAGAGGATCGTTTCAAATCATGAAGCATATCAGGTAATTTCAGACAATGTTTCAGATCTCGAATATTTACCTTCGTTCAAGTACCAACATTATAACACAGCTTGGATACCAGTAGAATATGATTAATTATTATTATTATTTAATTATTTAATTAAATGATACCAGGCAGTATAGGCCAATATGTCGGCCATACAAGTACAGAACCTGTAGGTTATCAAAACTTGTTTAGACTTTATTCAAAATTTAAATTGTTGCTTTCAATTTTTTATACTATTAATGACGGTTATGTTTATTGTGTTCATTACCTTGTATCATTTAACATCAATCTTTGTGAAGTGAGATCCATATTTATTTATTTTTTAGTAGTTAAATAGTTTGCCTTTGGCACATCATTCAATATATAGATTTGACTAGTTACAAAAACATGGCATGGACAATAGATAATTTATTCTATAAGTGGTGGCTACTGCTGATGCTCGATTTTGGTGTGTATGTGCTGATACTTGGTATCAAGTGGATTGAGACCAGATAAAGTTTTACTTTTGATTCATAAAATGCAGCTCAACGTCATTTAGAGGGTAAACATTACGGTTCAAGCATTTATGTCACATTCCCAAGATCAAACTAAGGCTCGTTGTTTTAAATGGTCTTCTGACCCTACTTTAATTTTGTGGATATTATGTGAGAATCCTTTCTTTATCATTCGAGTGATTAAATGGTGGCAGCTTTGCATTATGCAGAAACGAAATGAGAAGAAGGAAGCCAGTGAAAAGAGGTATTATGAGACCAAAACCTACGTGTCTGGAGATTGATTCCCGGGAAGTCAACAGGAACTATTATTTCATGAATCCTCACATTTCTAACTCCTGCAGCGAGTGCTGGTTTAAATATTGAGCCAACGATAATTAGTTCAGGTCTTCATTGGCATTGTATTTTTTCAGATGATAGGCCGGAAGTTTGCTGGTTATACAACTAGCATCCAGTGACGGTCTATCGAATTTTCTTGTTTTATTCAACTTGTCTAATTTTTTCTTGTTGTTGCACCCTGTAATTTGAGTTCCAGTTGTTTTGTAATTGAGATTTTTTTTAGATTATATATATATATATTTCTGTTTTCCTTAGCTTGAGCAGAAGCAGCATTTTTTCATAATGTTTTCCATTTTCTTTTCTGTTGTTGAGGCGTTTTTTGATGGATGAAGCATAATATGACCAATCATAATATAAAAAAAAGTAATTTTGATTGATTAAGAACCATTTTCTTATTTATATTTATGTATATGGTGATTTTTCTTGTTGTTTGTTGGTATAATCATAAAAGTTTTCAGATATTATGAACAGGTTAATTATAGATTATTTTTTATAATTAATTATCTTTAGTATCCTCATTCTTTTATTATCAAAAATTACATTAAGAAATATTTATCTTTGTTGTTTCTCATATCGTCGATTTTATTAATAAAAATTTTGTTGACTTTATTTTAGTCGACGAGACAAGGAGAAATAAAATTAAATATTTTATTTTTATAGTATATGAATCTTAATATAATTTTTAAATATATAAATATCGAAATAATAAAGATAATTAATTATAGAAGCTAATATGTAATTAGTCTTCATGTCATTAAGGATAATTGAGTAATATTTCTCTTATTTGATTTGAAGATGAGGATTGACTCTAAAATCTTGCTATCAATAATAAAAATCTTTTACTCTTTGAACAAGTTAGTTAAATCACATCATCAAAAATTGATTTCTCTGTTGTTGTTCGATGTTCGGTGATCATTTGCACGTGAGTTGATCAGCCGACACTATCTCAAGTCTGATCTGCATGACGAACTCTGGTCCCACCGGAACTCTTGATCGCTCGGTGTGGTGTCTAAGTTCGAGACATCTTTTCCTACGCCAAAATCAAGTGTCGTAGGGAGGGGAACCCCTTGTGGTACCTCCGAGTTCAGTTGTATGTTTATAAAGAAGAAAGTGTCCGACCTAGATAACTATGCTCATTATTACCCTTTTTTTATAGTCATTTTTTTGATATTTTTTATTTGAATTCTATCAATCGAGATCTAAATGATAGAGTATATTGTGGATCTCTGAGCATCATAAATGATAGAGTATATTGTGGATCTCGACACATGAGCACGCTCGGCAACCACGCCAACGCAAACATGAAACCTCGAGACGAAGATGGGATGCCTGGCAATCACGTCAGCGCAAACATGGAACCTCGGGACGAAGATGGGATGCCACGTCGGACATGCCACCATGGACTCAAGACGACGTTCACCCCCCTCCCACGCTATCTAGAGCCGCACGAGTTAGCACCGTCTTGGCGAGGGCTACTCTGGAAAGCTCGGGAGGACGCCGCGCAATGTCGTTCTACACATACCGAGTGACGATCATCTCGAAGGTACGAACTCGTCACTCGGAAAGTCAGTCGCCGCACATAGATTGCATACAGCCGACCCTCAGGCACCATAATAAAAGCCCTCAGCCAGCATCTGACAAGGAGCGACACGAGCTTTCTATAAAAATCCACTGACTTAATCATTGGAGGGGGCCTAAGTCACGTGTAAGAACCCGACGAAGGACGAAACAGAGTGCGCCCACCGAAGAGGCTCATCCGGAACCGACCACGAGCTCAACTAGTTCCCGACGAAAGCTTGATTACTAGGAGGATCCTGGACATCGATAGTCGAACCGAGCCATGTTGACTCTTCGACCACAACGAAGAGGTTCACCAACAATATAGCTGAGTTTGCACATTTACCATGTTTGTTTGCACATTTACACATTAATAGGAAGCAATGATATGATTTGATATATATTCTTCTTAACACTATCCTCATGTGGCCGGCAGACAAGTTCAAACTCAACACGTGCAACTTGAAATGATCCCAGGATATGTGGCTCGGATAAATCTTTTACTAATACCTTTGCAATCTAAAAATTCAAGATAATAAATAAGATATGATCCATTGATCGATACAAAGAATTGAGTTATACGCAAACTAAAACTAAAAATAGTCTCATTGTCATTCTTTTCCTGCGCATCACACATGATTTTTCCTTTCTTCTGGTAGTTCCAATGACCTGTCAATGAATGGCATCACACAGTCTCACGGCGTTGCCAAAACCATGTCGGGGTGGTGCAAAGTCACACTCCGAAAGCCCCACTCTCTACGCTGATGGCTCTAATATCGCATGGTTTTTGTAGGGGGCAGTCTCTGTCGAGGTCCCCCTTAATTGTTGCTTCTGTCACTGGGAATCCCGTCTCCTTTTGCTCCACCTTCTTCTCTTTTGATGGTCTCCACACGGCTTACAAGTGGTGGCATTACTTCCCATACGATTTCAGAGAAGATAGGAAAGAACTGCTGATCCCATGCAGCAAACCAAATTAATTCTGGCATCCAATATACGAGGGGAGAGCATAGGGAAGAGGATTACACGATTGTCTCAATCTATGAGTAAGAACACTATTTGGTTCAATTATTTTGGTATTTGAGATTGCTGGTAATCTCGAAAACTCTCAAGTCCTAATACGAAACCTCAATCTATATTGACTCTAACATCCTTTCTCACATGCAAGTCAATCTCCCTAGTAATCATAATATTTTCTTTTTCTTCTTCCTCCTTTGCACTGTCTCTCATCTTCTAGGGTGGAGAAATGAACAAAGTGTGTTTAAACCTGCAGCTAAAGGAAGACACATCCATGATAGTGTCATCTTGTCAGCTTGCGTTGGCTTGCCATGTGAGTGTCTCCTGAGGAGGTGGTGTGCCCATCTGGTGCAGGGCCAAGCTTGTGAGCTGTAGTCATCTCCATGCCCCTACCTTGCCTTCTTGTTAGAGAACCAAATCTGTGTTTGATGAGGACCTTTCTTCAAGGATGTGCCAAAGCATCATTGGCACTGCCAAGTGGTTGGAAACCACATTGTTTGTCATGTACTTCTGTCCCCTCCATGGGAGATCTCCAATGTGTTATGTTCTTGTTGCCAAGCCACTGCAAAATTTAGTGTACTTGGCATTCATTACCTCTCTCTACTCTTCTAAGGAACCTAATTGTTGAAGCTGTATTGGTTGTTCACCAGAAACATCAAGTGCTTGCTTAACTGTACATTTATTAGAAGCTCAAGTTGTCATCTTTTGTCTTAGCAGTGGTCAATTACCTAATAATTCTGTCACTAGAGGAAACCTTGCACTCGACTTTTCTCATAAATATTTGATAATGACTTTTATTGGATTTGACTAATCTAAGAATTTTATTTTGCTTATAAGAAAAAAACATATCCCGCCGTAAGATCGGTATTAAGGAAGTACAAATATTTCATATGATAAAAATATTTATGATACTTCAACTAGAATATCGGATCAAGATATTAGTGGAAAGGGAAAAAAGAAAAGTACATCTTGGGAAACATATAGATAGTTTAGATAATCGTTGGCATTTAATGGATAGTTATTTCATACTCGATAATTTTATCGAGTTATTAGATGTGAAGAGTCGTTCAAACCATCAAACCATCATGTTGTGAATGACAATACGGGTGACGAAGCTCCACTATAGACACATCATGTTGATTGAGCATTTAACTTGGAGTTAAGCTGTTAGTGATATGACATGACACCTAATGTACACATGTTATTTTTTCTGATATCACTTATAATTAGAGAGAGAGTATCATCATAGATCAAAGTGAATAATGAAATAATCTTACAACTTTGACGATTTGATGATTCTTCTTATGTTAAAAATTTTGTGAAACTTATCATTGAGACGTTAGAATAATTAGTATATTATCACATAAGTAATCAACAACGAAGATTTATATTAGTCTCATCGAAACATTTGAATGGTTAGTATATTACATATGAGCATCTTATACCTATAAGCAATAAAACTCTCCTAAAACAAAATCTAAGTATTTAATATAATTAATTATAGATTAATAAATATATTTACTTAAATTTCTAGAGATATAATGTTAATATTCACAAATAAAAAAATAGAAACTTATGCAACCAAAGTATAAAATCTAAAGGTAGGATTCGCTCAAATCTAAAGATAGATCCAATTATTATCATATATATATATATATATATATATATATTTATTTATATATGTATCCTACCAACTACAATTCCCTAATGCCGCCCAAAAGATCGATATATATTGAGTCACTTTCAACCCCGCAAGTACCCAACAAAACTATATAAATTACATGATATTAAATCGAATTAGTATATTATACACTTCTAATCATAGCTCAAGTTAATGATCATTCTCCCAACCAATATTACCCCCGGCAGTAATTGGACACCATCCTTCCCGGGGGCGTTTTCGTCCATGCGTCATATATATATGTATGAGGTCTTCCTTCCACCATAGCTATATCCTCTCTCTCTCTCTCTCTCTCTCTCTCTGTGAACGCCGCGGGATAATGACGAAGGTCCACCCGAGCAACACAATCCCGGATCTCGAGTTCCCGGAACCCGCCGGCGCCCGGCGGAAGGATTCGAACACTGTGGTCTTGACGGTGTGGCGGAAGTCCCTACTGTTCAGTTGCAGCGGGTTCACGGTCTTTGACGCCGAGGGGAACTTGGTCTTCCGAGTCGATAACTATGGCTCGGGGAGCACGGGGGAGATCGTCCTCATGGATGCCGCCGGGAAGCCATTACTCACCATCCGCCGAAAGGTACGTAGAAATGGGCCGATGAGCTTGCTGTAAGATAAGCGTCGGAAGATAGCACGGGTTACTGAGTCGCTCGCCCTGGTTTTTTGAGTGCAGAAGCTGAGTTTCGGGGCGACCTGGGTGATATATGACGGAGAGGATGTCGTCGACCCTCTCTTCTCCGTCAAGAAGCACTCGAACCTCCTCCACTCCAAGGTCCTCGCTCACGTGACCTCCCCGTGCCGCCGCCGCCGCCACCGGGGTGGCTGCGGCGCTGGATACGAGGTCGAGGGGTCGTACTCGCGGCGGAGCTGCACCGTCTACGACGAGATGCGGCGGAGTGTGGCGGAGATCCGGCGGAAGGAGGCCGTAGGAGGCGTGGCCTTCGGCGGCGACGTCTTCCGCCTCGTGGTCCATGCAGACGTCGACACGTGTCTGGCGATGGCCATCCTCATCGTCCTCGATCAGATGTTCGGATCAAGAGTGTCTCTGATCGACGGCTGAGATCTCGAGTTCGGACGGACCCCTCTCTTCTCCCTTCCTGGCTTGCATGATTGGATGCGTGCCATTTCAAGTTCTTTTTCTTGTTCTTTTCCCCCTTTTTTGGGGCCTTTTCTTAGATCGCAAACTAACACAAGGCAAGAAGAACTGAGTGTATAGAGTTTCATTCCAATAAAACATCACTTCTGATATGTAGATTTTTTATGGCAAGAGACTCTTACCAAATTTTTGACCAACAAGAAAAACACTCCCCAAAAAGAAAGAACAATCTTTAGGAAACATTTTTGTTTTATTCTCAACATGACTTACTTGGGATGACTGATGTATGACATGTAAAGATCACAAAAGAAGAAACATTTATGTTTCGACAAAGCCAAAACATAAAAATGTGCATTGCAAATTTAGATATAGTGGTTAAAAATTAAAGCATGAGTGTTTCTCTAAGCAAGATTTAGTTTACGACAAAAACATCATAAACTGCCGCTTAAAATGATCTCATGCCTTATCTTTCTTCTTTGTTCATTTAACGAAGGAGTTACTTAACCACGTTAAATATCATATCAATTTTGTGTTAGTTTTTTTATATATGTATATATATGTGTGTATATATATGTGTATATATATGTATAAATATATATGTATATACATACATATATATAAACACACACACACATATATATAATTATAATTTTCTCCATGCTCTCAATCATTATGGTGGGATTTTAATGGATGACATAAAAAAAAAAGATAACAAGTCCTACCGTGATTACAATTTTCTTTGCCTATTCTTAGTACCATAGACCACGATCTATTTATATTTTTATGAGGATTAGAAGACATCATCATACACATATTTCAAGGCTCATGTATCTTTTCATCATGGTGTCACTTCCTAATAAAAAAATATTAAATTTAATTAATATTTTCAATAATTTATGGGAGATAAAAGTATATTATCACGTTTTTCAAGGGTCTTGTATCTTTTTTGGGCAATATTTTTTTAGCTCCACCAATTATTGTTCATGAGATATCAAAAAAAAAAAAATCTCATTTTTCTTTCTCGACTTTAAATTGATTTCTCATGTCGTCATCATCATTAAATCCAAAGTCATATATCAACTGCATCATATTTGTTCATGAAATTATATTTCATTTCAAACATTTGATTATAGGGTTATTATAAATTCAAGATTCTCATTAATTTTATACAAAATATTATACATAATTTCATAGTCAATTTTTATTGAATCGTGCATACACTAAGTTTGTCATCATAAAAAAAAATAAAATTTTAAAATTATGGGAACATAGCATGCAACTTTAAGGCCCATCAAATAAATCATCTTTAAATATATATAATAATTAACTATAACTATCTCCTAAGATTATTCGATGTAACGATGAATGTTTCATTCTCCTATAACTCTTTTAAGTTATACGAGAATGAATCTTTCACGTAAGATTATTCCACGTAATGATGAATCTTTCATTGTTCCATGTAACTATAACTTTTTTAAGTTAAAATAAAATTCTACTCATTATTAGTAAGATGAGCTGAAGCATGAAGTACAATCCATGGAAAGAGAAACTTCTATAACATTTGATACAAAACAAATGTCAGCTTATAACTTTTTCCTTTGAAGCAAATTTTATAATCCTTCACACGTTTTTATTGCCACAAAAGTAATATTTTACTATAATTTTTTTAAAAGTTTGTCTAACATTTATAAACTCAATTGATTTATTTGGTAAATTATGCTTTATTTTTTTTATTACGCATTTCACAACTAATAATCAAAATATCATGAGACATTTTTTTACTTTAATATTAATTCTTTCTAAATATATATACTAGTCAATTCATTTGAGTTTTATTTATCCTTTATTCATGTTATAATAAAATTTAAATGAGCAATATTAAGATGAATGAGAACTAAAAATGAATTACACAAGAAATGCTTACCATATTTAATATTCTTAAACCTTACAACCTTATTAGTCATAACAAAGATATGTCATAGAATTTCTTGAATGTGGTAATATAGAGATATTGTCAATTCTTTCGTTAAGGTATCAATCAATAACTTATTAACAAATTTCAGTATGCAAGTTGTATATTATAATGAAATCTATATATTTTTAGCAATTGTCGTAAAGCTAAGCCTAAATAAACCTTTTATAGTTATTTATCTTAGTTATTTATTTAATAAAATTTTCAACAATTAAGTATGTTATCCTTCCAACAAGTATCGATAAGGTTTCACAAACCTAGAATAAATTGTATATACTTAAAATTTTTATAATAATTTAATCCAAAATATATATAGATAATAGAATCGTAAAAAAATAATGAGAAGTACCATTGTAATAATACAAATAATATAATATTAATACTATAAGTTTTTAATAAAATAATATGATGGGAACTATTGATATAATCTTTATTTCATCTTTGGGTGAAATATTGATATATCTAATGTTCACATGATATTTTATAAGTATGTAGGATTGATATTATCCTTGTAAAATTTTGTTGCTACATTTGGATATATAACCCTTAAACCGTAAAGATATCCAAAATAATATCATCTTACCTTATCACATAATTATCCAAAATCGATATTCATTTACGATTATCTAAATCAACTATGTGTGTGAACATTATTTTTCATAATACCAATTAAGACTAATTCTATAATATAATTTTTTAAATTTATTAATCTAAATTACTTAAGAATATAAATTACAAACAATATTCACTAATTTTGTTTAATATAATTCATGTAAAAATAATTTAATAATATTAAAATAATAATCATAATAATTATTGATCATTAATTAGCATAAAAGAAAACTGATATGATGACTATAATAATGATAAAATAATAATAATATATTTATGTGAAAAATAAATATTATTTTATAATATTTTTAATATGCATGTGAATAATCAAATAAAAATGTTTAATATTTCAAATGAGAAAACTATAAAAAAAATCATAATTTATATTTTTTTAATAATATATAGAACCTTAAATAAAGATAATCAACCATATTTAATTGGGCAGGCTCTGGGCTATGCAAATTGAGCTTATATTTGGGCCAAATATTTACTCAACTAGGCCAATCAAAATTAGATATAACCAAGATTAAAATTAATCAAAATTAAGGTTTGATCAAAATGAAGGTTACTCGAGGACAAAATGAGTCAAAAACTTAAATTATAATCAAATTATGTCTAAATTAGGCTATGATCAAAATCTAATCAAGTTATAGTAAAAAATCAAATCGGGTCATAAATTGGGATTAACCAAGGTCAAAATTGAACTTTCCTCAATTAAGTTAAAATCAAGGTTGATCGGGTCAAAATCCATAGGATTGATTTGAGGTCAAAATTAAATTTTAACTAAGTCAAAATTAAGGTTGGGTCAAAATCAAATTTAAGGCAAGATTTGATCAAAGTTGATTTTGACCACAATCCCCTAGCAGCCCCCATTCCCTGCCTTTGCCATCGATGATGCGCCATTGATTGTATGCTGTCGTGCACTATCGTCCGTCGCAAAACAAACCATCCAAATCGTTGTCGTCCATCGTAGCACAACAATCCGCTATCTGCCCTGTGCGCTGTATAATAGTGCCTTTCATGTTGGTGCTAAGAGTAGTACCCAAATCATCACTACCCAAGAAGCCCTTTGACGCTACCTGAGGCACTATATCATCGACCGCTTGCGCCCATCCATTTCACCGCGACATCTCCGCCACCACAGCGGCCATGCGACCCTTGGTCTTTCACCAAAATGCTAGGTTGTTGTTTGCGAGCAGCACCCAAACCACCACCACGGGCCTTGTGGCCTCCGACGACTCTATCGTGGACAAGCACATATCTACGAGAAACCATCCCACTGCGCACTCCATTCGTGACACCTGGATTGGTCTCCGGCTACCATCAAGTCGGTGTTGATGATCGTTATCATGATGTGTCATCCACGGTGACACTTTCCATCGCCAAATCTCATCATCGTGATGACACCCAGTGGCAATCCTTCTACTGTAACGTGTCATGACCTCGTGTGACTATTGCCCTCAACAAAGCTATCGCACCACTACCATTATCTAGGTCTCTATTAACACTTTGCAATGATCGTAAGACTCCTCATCATAGCGCCCGATGCTATGACACCACTATCCTATCACTATGACTACCAATGATGCTTTCTATAATAGTTTTGTTGCCCACAATAGGGTTGGCGACGAAGTGGACTATCTCCCTATGTTGTACCATCATGGACAACAAATCGTCTGTCGACACAAATGATCGCTCACCAATGACCACATGTCGTGGGATCTTCAATATCACGACCCTTATATGCCATCACTAATAGCTTCACTGTAGCTTATGCAGTCGATGTATGCAGCGTTGCCGCTTGCACAATCATGGCTCACAATGGGTCTCGTGACTAAGGCAGGCCGCTAGCCTTTATAGCGTCGTCATCGATAGCAAACTGTCGAGCAGCCCGTCGACCAAGATCAGGCAAACCTTTCGTCCATGATTTCACTCCGGTCGGTAACAAACCTTATCACCAACAAATAGTTAATTACTATTGGTGAACAAATGTGTTGTGACTAATGAGTCAACACAACCTAGTTCACAGGTCGATGTCGGGAGTCTTTTGTTAGTTGAACCGAATGCCAAGGTCGATCGGGCCCTCGCAACGGAGTCTTAATCAGCGTCTCTCGGTCCGAGTGCCGGTTGATGGCTCGCCGACCGTGAGGACGTCGGTCGGCGACTTCCAAGGTTGGGACGCTCGCGGATCGTGGGTGGCTGCTTTCCTGCAAAAATGACCTTCGTCGGGTGATTCTCGACTTTGGCCCCTCCGACGAGCAAGTCAGTGGTGGGTTGAATTGTTTTTTTGCCTCCCTATGGCTGGATGCCGGCCAGGGGCTTTTATACTATTGTATGAGGGTCGGTTGCACATGGGTTCGGCATGACCCATGATCTTGAGACAGTACTTCTGACCGGTCGTCGTCTCGAGACGCACGAAGCGGTGTCAGACGACGCCGCCCCGAGTTCCCGGGACGAGACATGTCGAACAACGTCTCGGTACGGATTCTGTCTTGGCGTGTGGGGGTGTTCCTCTTGCTGATTCTTAGGTTGGCGTGGTGGTACGTGGGTCGAATAGCGTCTTGGTACGGATTCTGACCTGGCGTGTGGCATTGACTGTGACATGTCTTGAGCCCAAAACATTATCAATTATGAGATAAACAAAATAGACTGAATAAGCCTTTAAAAGCAACGGGCAATAACACAAGATTCCAACTTAAGTCCATCTTCGGATGCCATTAAATCTGGCTTTCAATATCCAATTGGTACATGGACGATGCTATGATTAAGGGATGCCTCTCGAGTCCCGTTCATGCACACAACCCTTCTTCCATGAGTCCCTTTCTCCTTCCAACTTCCATCCGTCTTGAGAAAACACACAACTCGAGTATTAATTACAGCCCACTGATGAATACTAACTAAACCAAAGTAATGTGGCACTGTACGTCAATGGAATCCGATTATGTCATACATGGATACATATATGAAATCCATTGTTTATGATAAATGCATTGTCTTCCTCGTCTCGTGCTGAAACCATCATGAAGGGAGAGGGAGAGTAGAGAGAAACTTGCATGTTAAGCTACGTCTAAAACTCTCTCATCCTATCGTCCCTCTTAAAACTCTTAGATGTCAGGCTCATAGTTGAGCTTCACATCTACCTGTCATCTTTGTGAGAGACCACATAGGTCCACAGAAATCTCGAGAGGGAATATTAAGTCAACGAAATGGGTGGCATAGTCAACGCAGCTTTTAACAATTGTAATTTGGGTCAAAAGCATATTCTAATTACAATTACAATCTCATTTGGGAGAATTGAGATCTTTGTCCTATCAACTCCGTAGAACACGATACACAATATCTAGAAATGCTTAGAAACCAAAGAAAACGTCCATTAGTCTGAACTTTGTAGAGGCTACGGATATCGGAGACATTGTTTCTACTAGTTGCAGTGACCTCCTCATTCTGGCTGCACACTCGCTGTTGATCCTTCAGCAGATGGAAGGCCTGCTATTTCTCTAAGTGGCCTCCACACGAACTTTCTCCTGCACTCAGCAAGAACCTCAGCAAGTAATATGAAGTCGAGGGAACAACAAAGAACTACTCGAGCAAGCTCCGAGGATTAGTAACTAAATGAAGCATCTTGTACCAGTTTCCACATTCTGCAATGACCTTCACTTTAGGACGAAGGGTAGGAAGCAATGCAAGGAATTGCAGTTCGGCCTTGGAGAGAACCTATGGAGAACCACGAAATAAGATGCATGTTAAATTGCTTAAGGTGGTGACGTATCTGATACTTGAAGAAGGGTTAACCTTGGCTTCTATGACCCAGAGAACAAGGCCTTTGGCATCAGGAGGCAATAAGGAGAGCCTGTAGTCCACTTCAGGTGGGAAGTACCATCTTGCTATGGGTTGCTTCCCCAGATGAGGCTGCACTCAAAGCTAGCTCGCATCATTAGCTTGTAAATCTATCGTAGATTCGATTTAGAATGACTCCGGATCCTTCAGTGACCAAGTGTAATGCTCGGTAGTCAACAAAGAAGCAGAAGAAGAAGAAGAAGAAGAGAGAAGGGACGGACGGGGCAAACGGGGTGGATCTTGGTGAGGGTGGACTCGGGATCGCCGAGGCCGCGGGCGGTGAGGTCGAGGAAGCGGTAGCCCTGGTAGCGGAGGCGGTTGAGGTAGCGGCCCTCGTACCCGCCCTCGTGCGGCGAGTACACGGCCAGGGCCTTGTGCTTCTCAACGTCTTGCAGCCACCGGCCCAGGTCGGGGCGGACCAGGTCGCCCCCGATCAGGTCCGCAAGTCCACACCTCACGCCCCCCACCGCCGCCCTTCGGCTTCGCCTGCCGCCTGTGGCCGATGTGAGTGGCGCCGTCAGGTGGAACGCGGTGGCGGACGACGACATCCCCCTTCCGACGAGGACGTGCTCTGCCTCTCCGGCCGACCGTAAAGGGCTAGTTTTGCTGTCGTTGTGTAGTGCGTTTGCTTCATTTTTCTTTTAAGATAACGCAGTAATTCTTGTGGCTTGGGATTCCAGTGGTGCGGTTTGTGGCGGGAAGGGGATAAGGCGCGGCCCACTTCCTCCGTGGCAAATGACCTATAAAGGCATGACACTGATAGGAGATAGCATTCTCAGCTCATCTCATCATCTCAACATAATTTGATTACACTGAAACAAACTTGTCTGAAAATTATTGGTAAAACACACACAGCTAGAACAAGGAAAACAACCATTATAAACAAGAGTCAGAACATGCAGAAGGAAGTGCAACTAAAAGATAGACCACCATCTCCTGTTTCTGTCCGCTGGAGATGAGTTGCTCTGAGATCTGTGCAGATGCTGTTCCCTGGCGCCGCCCTGAATTCTCACATCACCGGACGGTTTTCTTAACCAGAAAATGAGAACAATACCAACAATACTGACAATTGGGGCGGCAGCGAGGAATAGCCATCCACCTCTGCTGCCCTCTCCACTTCTATTCGCCGCGTGATCTAAACTGCGATGCTCAGCATTTGCAATACTGATATCAGAAGCTTCTTCGTTCTCCAATTCAGAAGATGTATCATAGGTCTCCACAGCCGTGTCTGTGGGCTGAGACACATGCCTTTCGGTTTGGTTCAGGTTCCTTTTTGCCTCTTCATACTCTGGATCATCAGTGGGGAGCTCGTATCTGCAAACCGGGCATGAGTTCCTTACATTCAACCATGGCAAGATGCAGGAAGGATGATAAAGGTGCCTACAGGGAAGCCGCTTTGCTTCAGTATCAACAAGTAATGGGTCCTTGCAGACCGCACAAATCTGGGTACCCTTTCTTTGATGGTCTTTTGAAACAACTACGGATGGGAGAGTCCTCACGAAGGATGCTGCTGCAGGAGGTGCCCCCCTTCTTGAGCTGTCAGTCTCTGCAAGCTGCTCAAGCAGCTCCTCGAATCCCCTTGCATCAACATAATCTCCTGGATTCCCAACATAAGTTGGTCTAATGTCTGATTCCTCAAAGTCAGCAAAAACATCAGAATACTCTGCTGGAGTTTCTCCTATCCTCAACTGAAACCAGGCACCATCTTGAGCTCTTCCCATACCATTACTACTTGGACTACCATTAGCATCCTGGAACTGCTGTTGCGGGTCTGCAAACATACTTAATTCAACCCAAGAGGCCTCTACCCACTCTCCATCTTCATCATCTTCCCCATCTGAGTTCCACTGATCAAGTCCTGCATGCATCGGGTCAATATCTGTGTCGGTGGATACATAGCTCTCATTCTCATGTTGCAACAACACTTGTCTGTCAATCAAGCTATGTCTATCCAGGGAGGCATCTGAGTCTCCTCCATAACCACCAAAACTAACATTTGAGTCGGTTTCACCGAGCGCGGATTCCGATTGATCAAGAGCATCACTGTCATTATCAGATAATGCACTTTGCCGTCTCCAGGACCTGCTCCGGGATGCATAATAGCTGGCATGCCGCCGAACAGTAACAGGAGTATCACCTCCAGATTGTGTTTCATTATTATGGCTAGCCAAATTAATCAGTCGGGAAAATCTATGAGAGAATAAATCCTCAATTGGCTCTGAGCTCCTGAACCAATCTCTCCTTTGTCTCCTTATTCGACGGATATCTCTAACGTTTAAATTTGTATGGTTATCATCAAGAACCATGATTTTGCACTCCCTACAAATGTGTATTGCTTCAAAACCATCATTCAGCTCTGCCTCCAAAGAGAAAACTCTTCTGCATAATAAGCATCGTACACTTGGTTGGTTGGAATGATGAAATGAACTGTTATCTTGTGGTAAATGATCAGACGACTGAAAAGAATAATGGGATTCTCTATCCATCTGGAGATTCTGGACTGATATATGACATTTGATAAAAGTCAATACAAACGAATAAAAAGACAATAAGGCCAAGCCAAATCAAATGATTTTTGATGCAAGTGATTCTACATTTGTAGAAAGTAAGCTGAAGGATCAAGCACTAACAAAACTTGTCAAGCAGGCAGTATATAAGAAGGGAAACTTGGGCTTCTATTGTTAACTATAAGAAACTTCTTACACGGACCTAAAGTACCATCAGAGTTATAAATACAAAGTTCTGTTAAACAAAATGAATTGTCGAACAATCATAAATCGCTTGAATATTCATAAACCCCCATTTGTGTAATTGACAAAAACTGACTGAAAAATAAGTTGCCAAAACCTACTGCACTAGCATCATCATCATTATTTACATGTTGACCACTCTAATTTTCTCCTTTTAAAAGTTATGAAGAGTGATATCTTTACAAGATCAAGAAAACAAACTTTGAAGAAAAATGTGTCATGACCTGAACCTGACAACCACGTTCATCAAGCCCCAAGGAGTACCCAGAGATGCTTTGGAGAGCAGGTAGCAACTCAAATACTAATCAAAGTCACTGGGTGTGCCAGATATGGGACTAATAATCCAGGCATCCACAGATGATCTTATAGTCCCTAGGTACTATGGTCCACCTGCCATTGACACCATATATGTTTGGAGATTCACCAATATGCACACTAGGTTCCAACCTAACCCACATACCACACGGTTAACTAAGAGAAAAGGAAAAAAGAAGAGCATAGAGTCCCATGCTTCACAACTTATGGCAGCAGATAATAAATAGAAAAATGCAAAAGTTGAGCTAATCTTATTTAAATGAAAACAGAAACATATAAGATTAACATTTGGTGGCTTTATGAAACACTATAGTTACCTATTCAACTTATCTTCAACAAGAAGATTTAGATATAAAGTTCACAGATGTGAATCAAGGCTGCAACAGTACAATAAAATAGGTTCGACACTCCCATGTGTTCAAATACTTTAAAGTCGAGAACTCAGCAAAGTAGAAATATAACATTATTAGACATACACCTCGCGATTTAGCTTAATGATGAGAGTTTCTCTCCATCGTGGTCAAGGGAACCATCTTCTGCAATAGTTGTCTTTGACCCACAATGTCTTGAATGCTCTACTTATATCCATCAATAATAAAAAGATAATGGTCGAGGAAAGCCGCATGATTATTAATACATTTTCAACTATCAGCATTGAACAATTGATTAGAAAGCTAGCCAACTTCTAGTTTTGATTCCAATTTATGGTCATGAAGTAAGAGTTCTAAAGCATACAGTATTAAGTGCTAATTATTTTTTAATGCATTAGACTGGAGCCGTTTTTTCTCAATATAAAAATTTGCAATCAGACAAAGATAGGATTGAATCAGATCATAATGCTGTGAGTTGGGCATAACAAATAAAAACTCTATGACAGAAGCACAATCTCCCTTTCCTGAATATCGTAGGGATGCAAGTGCATGGTCAAGCTTCTCATTTCTTAATCCATCATAACGGGGCATGACAGACAATTCTTATTTTTATAGAATATCAACTATAAAATAAATGTTTACAAGCCTATATGAGAAGTAATCATTGACTTCATTTACATATCATTTCTACTAACATGACAATGCAAAAGTTCTATAACTTAAAATTCAGCAAAATGAGTTAAAACTTGGGAATGCATGTTTTATGCATTGCAAGAACCAACCATTAATTTTCTTATGGGACCTTCAGTCTCCAACATAGGTCCCATGACACTGCTAAAGCTAAGATTACAACAGAAGGATCACAATTATCTCTAGCAAGATATGTGGATATACATAACCAAAAAATACATCATAAATTTGCATCTTATTTTTTTAATTTTGAATCATCAGGAAGCCCATCTGAAGACTGTCATGCGGTGTGAAATCCAAATCGTCTAATATCAGTCAGCTTAGAAATATGTATCACAGAGACAATTCCACCACGTGTGTGGGAATGTTAACTTTAATTTACCATTAAAAACATACATCATGAAACCATAAAAGTAAAACTCAAGTACTTTTCTAATTTGTGCTAGAAAGATTGCACAAGATGAAGTGATTGCTGACATATGCTACAATGAGTAGTTCTATCATCCCTTTATTTTCTTTCCCCTAGTGAAACATAATTTCTCCAATGCCCCACCCCCAAAAACCTATATAATTTCTCCAAAAATTCCCGCAACGTAGTTCTATCATCCCTTTACTTTCTTTCCCCTTTTGCGCTCAAAACTAGGGCTGACAAAGATCGCCGAGTTTGAAAACTTCTAACCCTAGCAGACAATATGTCCAACAAAATTAAGATAATGACTCCGATCAAAATATGCCCTTGAATTTATTATATTAGGAAATAACAACAAAACAACAACCAATATATCCAGGATCAACGAGATCGAGGAAGTCGAACCTCAAAAGCCAAATGATACATTAAACGTCATACTACGCGATAAACAAGATGAACTATCACAACAGAATCACAAACGAGCATCAAACTGCAAGCGCTTACCTTACCGCAGTTTTGCCACCATAAGATCGCCCAGGGAGAGGGCAAGAATGTTGACCAAGCCGACGAAATCCCAAGAAAGAGGAACGGACCGATTGGACCAGAATAGAAGTTCAAATTAGAAGATCCGAAGAGGAATTCTCGGGCTCTTGATGGAGAAGATCCGCGATTTGGGTCGGCAAGCGGGAACCCGATCGGAAGAGATCGCAAGGAGGTCAGGGGGATTTCAAAGAACGAAGAGAGTGCGTGTGAGAGAAGACTTCGGAGGATACCGGTCCGGTCCGGTCGAAGTGCCCCTTCGCGGTTCTGTCACGGAGTCGGCCGCGAAACTTCGACCAAGTATTACCTAAAACCAGATCTAGAGCACAAGCAACCTGAACTCAATCGAACCGCTTTGGTTCGAGGTCAGGCGAACCCAACGCATACAAGACCGGAAAGGGTCGCCTGACCTGGAACCAATTTGGAGAAGATAAGGGTCGTCGTCTTCCTGCTTTGATTTCTTCTTCTGGGTTCAAGTGGTCTTAGAAAGAGTCGCCTCCGATTTGGCGTGTTCGTATCGCCGGAAGCTTACGCATCAGCAATTGAGAAACTGGAGATACTGGAGAAGGAGCTCAAAGGAAGGAAGTTTCTCAATGGAGAAACCATCTGCGAGTAGATTTATAGTTCGAGTTCAAACAGGTGGTGACCTCAATCTTCACAGTTCTTCAGATCAGTGAGCATTGTCGAAACATTGGCTCCCATATTTTAACTTATAATTTCTTCGGAAGAACAAACGTGCCTGTGGTACACATGATCTCTCACGCATGGCCTTTGCAGACCAAAAATGCAATTGTACATCAGTTCATAACCTCATTATCACTGAAATAAATTCAACTCAGTTTAATCTATGCTTCTTGAAATGGTTGTAGAAAGAAGTGCTTTGGTTTTTATATGAGATATAAAGAGTACAATACCAACAGCAGAAGTCCTTGCTTTCCTCTGACAATAAGCAGGACAACACACCTTCGAAAGAAATGAAGAAATGGTGGAGTCCATCGTCAACATTGACAATCACAGTAGACTTAAGGCAATGAAAGAATTACAGAGGGAAAACATGCTAACATTCAGGATTAGGTTGTAAACCACCTGAAGAGAGAGAGAGAGAGAGAGAGAGAGAGAGAGAGAAGGGCGATGAACAGAATATACTGGTGTTTTAATGCAGTTTCTGTTTCTAAGCAGCTTGGTCTTGCGCTTCCTCCTCGGATGTCCAAACAACTTCCTTGAGGCTGTTAGAGAGATTCTTATAGAACTGCAGATAGAAAAATGATTAGGATCAGCAAAACTGCTCAAAAGAACAACATAAAATTGCTCAATTCAGATTTTGGCAACAGTTGCCTGAACTTTTTAGTATATTCAGCCTCAGGATCAGGGGAGAAGTAACTTTTGGGCTGGATAAGTTTCATGCTGTTTCCAACTCATAATAGTGAAGAAAACTTGGTTTTGTTTAGAACTCATAATACTCTCATCAGTGGGCTTCTTTTCATCCCCAAATGAGAAAACTTGTTTTCTAATTATCTTACCTAAATATCTTCTCCGTCTAGTGAGTGAAATGTCATATCACACAATTTTATATGCTCTAATGAGAAATGTAAAGACCCATACAAAATACAGGATATGAAGACAATGTTGAAGAAGGATGAAGATTTACGCTTCCTTGAAGAATTGCTTATAAAAAAGTGAGAAGATAATTGCACCATTATAGACAAGTGCATGGATTTGCTTCTCAAGAGACAGGCTTGTAGTGAACATAAAGAGGGAGCAATAATTGAGCTAAGATAGTATGTAATGATGCTGTAGCATCAGTATGTTCAACTCATTAGCTTTAAGTGCAAAAGTCAAGCTGGGATGAACATAAAGTTTCTTTTGTCATCTAGAAGACTCGAGTAATGCCAAATGGTTGCATGGCCCATCAAATAGTTAGTTCGAGTTTGTTTTAGTACCTTATGGAATTCCAAAGTGTCTCCTTTCGCTTTTCGCACCTCTACCATATGAAGAGAGGGTGCCACTTGAAAAATCTGAGAATTGATGGAAGAAGCATCAGCAAAAAGGATTAGTCCCTCAACATAAGTTCTGCACCTTTCACAGTACCTCAGTTGCGACTTTGAGATTCCCTTTCCTCCCAGCTTTTATGTTTTCCAGCTTCATCTGAATGGCAAAAAGGGTAGACAATGAAGTACTGCAAAGTAGTATTTGTTAAGAGATACTTCATATGAAATGGACATGACACCTTGTAATTCTTTTTCTGAACATCAAATCCAAGTGGTTTTGCAGCTTCCTCAATCTTGCTGATAATTTCATTGGCTGGACATGTTGCTGTAAATCTTGTTTCCCTTTTGAATTCCTGTTACAAAAAGGAAGTGCAAATGAATCAAAAACATCGCCACTACCAAGTTTGAGCAACTATCTCCAGGGAAGAATCAGAATACAGGTATTCTTGATATGCTGTTAGAAGATAAAGAGAAAAAGAGCTTGACAACTAAGCTGCATAGCACCAGAACATGTCACAGTATCAATTGTTTGATGGAGATCCGGAGCGGAATCTTCATCTTGCTTGAATGCAAGTTATGCAACACAAATGAAATAAAGTCAAACATCTGAACCTGTTCTACGTCAAACAAATTGCCAAGATCAAGGCCCTTTGACATCGATATCAGTTCAAAGGCATTCATTGATGTTGGTTGTTCTTCCTTCTCCTTCACATGATGTTCCTGTAATAGAAATGCACATTTTCTTTATACGACCATAAGTCATAAATGTCACAGATGACTTATAAAAGAAAATATTTTAGTAGGCTTTGACGAAAGTAATAATAAGATTTTTAGAACAAGTCAGTGAAGATCATCTTCGACTCACTTCAGAGTCTTTGAAAACGGCATCCACATCATCCAAATTTGCATCATATTTTTCCTCAAACACAGGGGGCTTGTAGCCTTTCTTGAACCAGTCATCCTTCAATATCTCTGGAATAGTTATACGCTGCCATTATTTCATAAGAAGCTGGTCAGCTATAATGCTTAGGCAAATGAAGCACTCTTGTCCAGCTTAACAAAGCAAAGACATTTGTTCTGTTAAGAACAAATTCAGGTAAAAAACACAACATAGTTAAGGTAACCAAATAAATAGATAAAACCTTGTATGGATGTGTCCATAATTTGGTGAATTCGAATGAGAATCCACGGTAATCGGTCATATCTAACTTCTTACGTTTATATGCTTATTAAATGACAAGCCATTTTATACTGCATCACATTCTCATTTTATGTTGCCAAAGAGTACTTACTGTCACTGGATTTGGATCCAGTATTCTGGACAATAATTTCATGGCATCAAAAGAAAGCCAAGATGGGCATGTAAACTCAGCAGCTGAAATCTGCATGTAAAAGAAGTATTCTCAATTTCCGCAAACACATGTAGAAATGCAGTGTGATGCAGAAATCCTATGTACAGTGTAATGCTCACTTTGTTGTACAAGGTCATAAGATTAGAATCCTCAAAAGGCAAGTATCCTGCTAACAGTACAAATAGGATGACTCCACATGACCATAAATCTGCAGTTGCTCCATCATAACCTCTATCATTGAGAACCTAATGAGAAGAAATCTATCTTAGTCAAATACAGTTTTTAACCTCAGAAGTAGTGTCAAGCATTGCAGCCATAGGATAGTCATCTGCACCTCTGGAGCAACATAATTTGGAGTACCACAGGCAGTATGAAGCAAGCCATCATCCTGGAAAAAATATCATTGAGATTTGAAGTTCAGATATCAATCTTGAGGACTAACAATTAGCCATAAGATAAATGAACCTACAAACAACTAGTATCGAAATCTTATAGGTCATAAACATAATGTAGTTAAATTCAGTAAAACTGCTCATTAATGTATCTACTAAGTACACAAATAAGAGACCTTTAAAACAATTTATCTCTTGGTTTTTGTTTAACTATTGTGGAGTTTACAATGGAGTCAACCTTCATTTTTCAAAAACCATATTTGATTTTGAATTAGCAGGAGCAATCGTATTTTACAGTATACCGGTTCAATTCTCCATTCGTACACACATTGTTGCCATTGAAAAGTCTGCATACTTACATAATCTTCTTATATATTTCCTCGTGAAAAGTTTCCAAAGATACATATGAATGTATTTCCAAAATATAATATACACTTTCATTTCTTTGGAATAGAAAAAAGAACTATGGATAAACATGTGAAAAACTTTGATAATCTCCAATCTGAATAATAAGGATTACCCTGACTTGCTGAGATAGAGCACTTAAGCCAAAATCTGAAACTTTCAGGTTCCCGTAAGCATCAAGGAGTAAGTTTTCTGGCTATCAAAATGCATGGAGGAAGCGAAGTCAGTACTGTCGAAATCAATGAACAGTTCATCATCATAGGAACATCCAGCATCAAACAGTCTACCTTCAGATCACGGTGGTAAACTCCCCTGCTATGGCAATAGTCCACAGCATTAATTAGTTGTTGGAAATATCTCCGTGCTTCATCCTCCCTCATCCGGCCATGGTTTACCTTAATGATTCGATTTTAGAAATATTAGTGGAGAAGAAAATGATGGCAAACATAAACAGAGACTAGGTTGGAAAAAATACAAATCAGTAGGAGATGATAATACATGTCATATTTTCTAGAGAAAACTTTATTCTATTAAAAAATTTCAACCTTTAATAAGAAGAAACATGTGCATCAAAATTCCATCTTACTATTTTGTCTAAGAGCTCTCCCCCTGTGACAAATTCAAGTACAATGAAGATTTTTGTTTTGCTACCCATCACCTGAAATTATACAAGCAATCATTTAAAAAAACAGATGTTAACAGAAAGTTCAAGTCCACACTTTCTTCAAAATTTAAGATCTAGTGCATGCTTCTCGTAGCTATAATATATATCCAAACTTGAAGAAAAAGTTTCAGTGCCATAGCAAACATAGATACCATAGAACAAATATACAAGGATCAATTTTTGATGAATCAACTCAATCATAAATCTGAATCAAGTAAGAAAACAAAATTAATGCAGTGACAAGATCCCAAATATCACATAAATAGAAAATTGACTTCTTAAAGTAATTACTTCTTTATTGTGGTGCAATTTTCGTATTTGAGAAAGGAAATGTGGGGTTGAGCCTCGTAGACCTTTGACTTTTGGTTGTAAAAAATTCAATGAGATGTCAATTAATGTGATGAAGGAAATGGTGTGAATGAATCAAAAAACCACGAAATGGAGGAGAAAAATAACCAGACCCCCAATATAATCAACATGTTATCTCTGACAGTGGCTATTTTCTCAACTATAACAGTATGAGTGAACATATTACTTAGTTGGCCTTGTTATAAGCTACTCTGTTTATTCATGACATAAGATGAGTAAAATGTTATTTCTGACTGAAGCACTTTCTCAACTATAGCAATATATGATCAATTCGTTGGACTTGTTATAAGCTACTTTGTTTTCGCATAACATGATACCATAACAGTGTTGGTACTTAAGAAAATTTGGATCTCATGTAAAAGAATTTGAAGACAACCTCATAGATGCGAACAACATGGGGATGCTTTATTAACTTCATAGTGGCAATCTCCCGCTTGATCTGCATAACAAATTTGGCATTAGTAAAAGTTGATTTATGCGATAAATGATTCTAATATGTCTGCAAAAGCTCAGAGAACTTAGTGAAGATTCGAGTGTCAAGAAACACAAATATTCAATATCAGAAAGACATAACATTGATTCAAGTTTCAACTACACAGAGATTAAACAATAAGACTTGCTATGCCTCAATAAAAATTGCAGCTGCATTTGATTTAGGATAATGAAAATATTCTGAGCCATATATAAAAAGAAATTAAGCAAACGTAACAAATGAGAGAAGCAACATTCAGAGTATAAATTCTTGCAGGAATCCAGCAAAGACCTGTTCTACTAGCTTGTGCTTGAGCACCTTCTCCTTGTCAAGAATCTTGATGGCAACAGGTTCCCCAGTCTCAATGTTCCTTGCAAATTTAACCTTTGCAAAGGTTCCTTCCCCGATAGTACGTCCTAGCTCATATTTGCCCACTCGACGCTTCACCTTAGTTGTATTCATTCTTTACTTTAAAGGTGCTCTGAGGATATATGGTATCCTTTCACCAGTCTCTGTTAATACGTGATGTCGATTGAAATCAATGTCAGATGCTGGAAATGTCTCACTAAATCAAAAGGGCCTCTAAGTGGAAATCTAAATATTCTTCTTTCTTCTAGAAATGTCCTCATGGTAATAAATGCATTTAAAATAATTACTAATAGCAGAGAAGCAAAAGGCTTGCCTAATAGAAAGCTTTACTCAAGGATTGGAATGCCACAAGAGCCCTAATAAAAGCAACTGATATGTCAGTAAGTTCAATTTCATACCAGAAGATCGATATGCATCTATAGACCAGTAACTCTCCTTGCAGTAAATGAGAAACCAAAACTAGAAGGAATAGGATAAAGAAGATGGAGAAGGACAAACCAGATTAGAATCAAAACAAGAGCACGAGATGAGAAAACAAGAACTAATCAACAGATCGAATAGCCCGCAAATAACAGAACCCCCAAAAATACTATATTACAAAAATCTATCATGAAGGAGAAACTAAGACTAAAAAGAAAGAAAAACAAAAGATGATGGACGGAGACGATCCAGTTTAGTTTCAGAACAAAGAGAAGACATTTCAAATTGAAAAGCATAATTAACAGATTAAGCAGCCATAAAATAACAAAAGCCCCATAAAAATAATAAAAAACAACACATGATTAGAAAAAGGATTTCCTCATCTTATCAGATAGAACCACATCAACCCTACCCAACCGTGTCAAAGAGAGAAGAAAATTGAGATCAAGGATGACTACCTAAAATGACTCCCATAGGCATCCAACACGAACCGAGGCAGATCGAGAAAAGGGAAGGGGGACAGACCTCCTTGATTATCCAGAAATGTAGAACCGGGGAAAGAAACTCCACAACCACCACCACAGCCAGCGTGATGCGTTTTGGGAACTCTGCAGGGCAAAATGATGAGGCAGAAGCAGAACAGGGAGGAAACCGATGGCGGCATGTGGTACAAAAACAGTAGGTGGCCATCAATGGAAACAGTAATCAGCGGAAGCAGTGGCCGAGGAGGAGGACAAGGATGTGGTGGGCATCCAATCCCAAGTAAGCCTCCGCTTCCTTTTCACTCGCAAACTGCCAAACGTCTTTCTTCCTCGTGGCCACTGTAAACTTCGTGCTTGCATGTCGTTCACTCCATTTTTCACTGCCGGCCGTCACCGCCATGACGCAGAGAAATCCCCGTCCAAAACACCACCATCCACATCACATGGCTTGCGTCTCTCCTCCGCTCTCGGGTAGTATTCATCTCATTTAAGACATGAACGAACTGCACCTCTGACGATCGTAGGATCTCCAAGCGGAGAGTGGTCATCTCCGCGCACAATGACACTATAGACTATTATAAGATAAGCTCCGACTCTTGTGTGACTCATCTCTCAATCAATCAAACAGCCTATTTGCAGTGGGGTAGTCTTGCACTGCTATGGTCTCCAAATTACTCGCGAACGGATAACTTCCAATTGTTAGCCTACTCAGCTTTGTTGTCATTTTTCGATGTGGTATGGAGATATTTGCTTTATCCACATGTGCAAATCGATGGGCCAATTAGTCAGATCATATTTGCCAATCACTTTCACCAAACCATGACATGCGGATCCAATTCAGCCCTGAAACAATTTGACTGCTACAAAATTTGTGGGTGGAGAAGAGTGCAATACAAGTCGAGGTCGGACCGACAAAACGAGATCGAGAGTATATTCCATTTATATTCGGCAATAGATGAACAATATATAGATTGAATAAAAGGTGGAGAAAAGATGCCATCAGAGTTACACATTGAATTGAGATTATTTGAAAGGATCTTGAGAAATATGCTCAATAGAATTTGAACTCTAGGAAAAATACTTCTCCATATTATATTGTTCTCTCTATATATAAACAGTAAACCACTAATTCAGCAATGGAATGTAATAGAAACAACGGTTCATAATTATGCACAAACCACAACATTTTGGTGAGAATCTACTCTCTCTCCCTTTGATTTACTCCAGCATGCATCCCTTACTATTTCACACTTGAAGAAATGTATTTTGGAAATTTTTTGATCTTTTTTTTTTCCTTTACTTTAGAGTGCAGTGATGATTTCTTTTCATTCTCTTCTTCTTTTTTTTTCTGTATATATGAGAAAATCCGTAGACGATTCGTCGAACTCTCATCTCGCGCGGATCAACGACCATAAGAACAAAAAAGTTGGTCTTCGGCACCCAAATATGAGCTTCTAAATCACAACTTGAGCTAAACCTGCGTATGACAATGCAAAACTTGAGGAAACATTATTTGGGAAGTCCATATAGAAAAAGAGATACACACACAAAGAAGTGTCACCTCATATTGATTGCAAGACCTGGTCATCTTTGACACTTCCATCAGATCCCTCACTCGCCCTTTCATCTCCGGAAAATCCATATTCATCATAGCTTTTTTGCATGGAATGCTTTGGTGCATGAGAAGCAGGCTTTTGAGCAACAGGAAAGGTAAATGGATCCAATCCATCATCCTCTCGCCTACCCTTCACATTTGCACTATCCTCGATGCTACTGTAATCCAAGTTCTGCAGTATGCTTGGAATGGACAGATTGCCATCCATCGAAAGCTTACTCCCCAACTCTATGTCAATCTTCTCCTTTGGCCTCATCACATCCATGCCAATGTTTGGAGTGTAAGATCCAGACCCAGCTTCTACTATTTCTTCAATCACCAGCGATCGGAAATCATGCATGGAAGGTGGGGTTTTTGAGAAGAACACGTCTTTGAAGTTTCCCCAGAAACCTTTGTTGTAGGGATTCTCTTTCTTATCGTATCGATATCGGAAGTTCTCATACGTCGTCTGCAGTATCAGTAGGAAAATGATTTGAGTCATCGTAGATATAATGTGCATTCGGGTGGTGGAAATGTGTACCTGATTGGTGCTCATCAGATAGAAGTGGAAGACAGTGAGGCCGCCGACGAACCACACTATGATGAAGGTGTAGACTATGAGGACGAGAGACAGAACCTCTCCCTTCATCGACTTCCAAATGGAGTTATGGTAGTGATTCCTTTCGGTAATTATGTTCAGCCACGAGAAGGTGAAGACGTATATGCAGAGAAACGTCGACGTCGATATGAACAAGCAGAAGAACCGGTAGTTGCGCTGCAGCAAACGAAAGAGATGGATGATGACTACCGGTCACCGACGGAAGCATGCAAGGAGGATCGGAGCTCACCAGTCCGATGCACTGACCGACCCACGGGCAATGGTGATCGAACTTTTGGACGCAGTTGTTGCAGACGGAGCAATGGGAAGCACGGGGTGGGCGATACAGCATGCACGTGTCGCAGTACTTCACCTTGACGGAGAAACCATTGACGATGACGTCCTTGGTTCTGGGTATCCTCAGGTGCGGGGTTCGGCCACTGATCCACTCCACGGACGGGGTGGTCACACTGAATCCCTCATCTACTTCCGGTGGCCTCGTGTTTCTGGGCACTATGCCTGGATCCCTACTGGATGTCATGAGCAGGAACATCAAATCCTGCATCATCCTATCATAGATCAGAATCGTGAAAGATGAAACCATCAAGAGAAGCAGCCTGCCACGAATCGACTTACCGATATCGTGATCACCAATGTCACGATGAGAACCGGAAGGCCAAGTATGGGGTGGTGAACTACGTGTTCTGACATGTCCAGCTTCTCATACTTGAGGATTTTGATGATTATTTGGTAGCAGAACGTAATCGAAGGACCCGCTATCAGAAACGTTGATAGAAATAACGAGGATACATCAGGACCAAATATAAATCTTCCGCCACAGAAGAATCTCTGAGATAGATTCACAAGAAGAATCATCATAAAAAAAAGGCTCGTCGAATCATACATAATCTATGATGTTCTATACAAATAAATATTTTTATTCGAGCGTAGAATCTTACGATAAGCTGTAATGAAAGCACACGTTATACCGACATAATTATGCACACAATTGGGAAAGGGTGATGATTGATATGTAATAGATGCCATCCGCTTGGATTTTGTTTTCCCGTATACATACGATCTCCCTTTGCAATCGTTAATTTATTTTCTGACGGTGCAATTCCAATGAACAGAGCAAAAGGAATTCGAGAAATGTTAGATGATCATCGGCCATAAAATATGCTATATGATCGATTCATTTCATGATCCAAAACAGACGATGCAGACACGGAGATATCTGAAACCAAAGCAGACTCGGGGAGATGGCTTACGTTGTTCCCCTTCCAAGCTTGGTACAGCCTCAAGGGCTTCGATTGCTGCGGCGGCGTTGCCATGCCTTTGGTACGGTCCCAAGAATGCTTTGGTCGTGGGGGTCCTTCGCCGAGAGAGAGAGGAGAGAGAGGGAGAGATCTCGGAGACAAAGATGGGGAGAAGATACGGACGAGAGTCCCTCTAACTCTTCCTGCCGGTGTCGAGATCACATCCTGCAGCTGCTTCTAACGTCGTCCCCCCTCATCTCTCTTCCTAAAGAAAGAAAGAAAAAAAAAGGACAAGAAGGAGAGAGATAAAGAAAGAGAAGCTGCGTGTTAATTTGTGGAACGCGTTGTTTGTGCGTTTGTTGACAGACTGCACAAAGGCGCCATGGATGTCCAATTACGGCCGGATTTGTCGCGGGGAGAGAGAGAGAGAGATAGAGAGAAGAGAGAGAGAGAGAGCGAGAGAGAGAAAAGTTGTCGAACATCCCAACGCCAATTATTTATTTGATGAATCCAAGTCTAAATTATTGTAGCCTAAATTAATGGTTTCAAGCATATTAAGCGGTTTAGTTTGGCGCAGATGAGGTTGTAATGGTTTGCTTTGGTTGGCCTCCTTCATTGTTGTTGGGGTGGTTTACTGGCATCACTACTTTGGTTTTGGTAGCTTAATTGAAATAACTTTGTGTCTGAATCCTACCTAATCTTTTAACCATTCTCCTGATTAAGGATTAATTTAATCCATGCCTCTTGTTATTAAATCACAACGCGATTGTTAGAGGATTATGATCTAATAATTCGAGTTTCTCATAAACTTGGTATTGGAAAATAAATGATTTCAATAAAATATCATACAAAAGATTACGTCGATACACTCGACGATACCTCTTTGATACTTTATCTATTACTATCAATGGTATAGATAAATTCTTTGACCTTCGATAATGATTATTGAGTTTGTCTTCGTTTTTATATGACATATTTGTACTGATCAATATCGTTGATAAAGATAGTAAAAAAAGAATTAATTACATATTACCTCTTATAATTAATTATATTTAATATTTTAATATTTATATTTTTAAAAATTATATTTATATTTTCATACTTACGAAAGTGAAATATTTAATCTCATTAGTCCAATAAAACCTCTCTTTTTCTTGATTTTTATCCTTATAAAATTATCTTTTTAATCCTATATAGAGATTTTAATATTTCACTTTTATAAATATAAAAATTATAATATAATTTTTATAAATATAAGGATTAAAATACTAAATGAGACTAATTATAAGAGATTATATGTAATTAACCCATAAAAATAGTACATCCACCTCGACACACATGGAATAGCCATCATGCCATGAAATGTGTGCACGAACTTAGATTGCCATATTTGATATCTACATCAGGACGTACCAAAAAAAAAAAAAAAAAAGAAGAACTGATGTTCTAAGTTCAAGCTCAACATTATCGAAGAAAACATTGATGATGGTATATATAAATATATGAGAAATGAAATGAATACATAGGTAGAGAGAGACGACGTGCGACGTGAAGGTCGTGCGGGCATCAACGGAGAGAGGAACGTTGGTTCCATAAAGCCACCGTGTTTTTATGATTAGCTGCTTCGTATAATTAATCGTGTGAATATGATTTGGACAAATGTGGCTGCCAATCTCAAGAATAAATATTATTGGGGAAAATTATATATTGCTCATCGGAAAGAGACGGGACTGCCACGTTATTCTTGAAAGGATTTTGTTGACTTGTGGTATAATCTTATAAATTATTCTATTTGGAAAGAGAGAAATAATTATGTCCGACATATTTCGGGTGTGAACAATTTATTCACGAGTCCTCGCTAATTGATGATTTTTATCGATGATGCTTCTTTCTTTATTGAGAATTTATCTAAGAGATTTTTTTTAATCAATAGATAAATATACAGTTGTTCTTTTAAGTTTATTAAATGATTTTATATTTGATAGGGAATAAGGTACTGTCAGCCTTGATTTGCTGATCCACCAAACTAACTACTGCCACTTCAAACAACTTCGAATAATCCTGTGCATATAGGTTTAGATCACATCGAGCTTACCAAGAAGTCAATGATATTTTTTCCTTATATTTTGGTATTAGAAGGAGGGTCTGATGTCATAAAAATATTCGCTTACTAACCCTCTCAACAAATGCTTGAGCGAGGATGAGCTACCCTGACCTATAGTATTTTCGCTCAAGGAGATAATAACCACCCTTTCAATATGTTGATGTATCTAACTCGATATAAATGCCGATGCGATATGGGCATTTGTTCATTGATCCAGGCCTCTCACCCCCGGGGGCTATCCCAAGCCACATGTTAATTCCTACTAAGGTGTTATTAATGCAAGCTATTATTCCACTCTTGTCCTAACTAGCCCAACAAGCGACGCCACCGTCTGAGCCATGGTCAGTAGCTCAATCGCCATCGACACTAGCGCCACCACCACCAATGTCCAACAAGAGACCCCAACAAGATAAAAGGAGATAGAAAAATGATACTATGACCCGGTTCATGGATAATATATTCTTATTCGACTGATGATCCTCCCTAATGGCAAAGGCTGAGGACATTGACCGTGATGACTTGCTCGACCACCACAGCCCCTAAGCTAACAATAACTAGGATTTTGGAGGTGGCGGTGGTAATTCCATCACTCTCGACCAACTCTTCATACCACAACCCCTAAGCTAATGCCAACTAAGACTCTAGAGGTGACAGCGGTGGCAAGTCCATCACCCTCGATTAGCTCTTCAAGTGCATCAATGACATGCATAGTGATGGTGATACCGAGAACAATGGCTTTGCCCTCGAAGGTGGCACCAGTGACCACTTGGCCTCCCACCCCGTCCCTTTCATCCTCGTCTTCACTGATCTCTTATATAGCATGAAGAAGCACTAGAAGTTGTCACTCTTATGTAAGAACAACCTTGCTATCAACTCCACCACTAGAGGTGATCTCTAAGACGAAGACGCTATTGAATTCCATCTTTGACGAGGCGAGTGGCTCTAGCATGTCCATCCTGATCGATGCTCTCGTGAATTGCATCGTGTGAGAGAGCCTACAAGGTTCCATCACCCTCAATAGCTAGAACCTCAAGGGGTAGCTCCTCAAGGTGATTTCCACTTATGTAATGCAGGATGAGCTCCTCAAGGAGATCTTCACGATGTTGGGGGTGAGTGGCTCCGACAAGTCCACCCTGAGTGACGCCCTCACGAACCGCATCATGTGGGAGAGCCTACAGGATTCTATGACCCTCAATGACGAGAAGCTTGAGGGATAGCTTCTTAAGGTGATCATCGCTTATATCATGTAGGATAACCTCATGTACCCAATGCTCACCATGGAAGAGACCTTGATATTCTCTATGGAGTTTCGACTATCGTAGTCACTATTTGCCTCAAACAAGAAGAGCTAGGTACAAGCACCCATCGATTAGCTTAGACTTTGGTCCACCGCCAAGACCATCATCGGCGATGAGATCTACCACGACATCTCCGACGAAGGGCGTCACTATGTGTCGATCAGAATCAACATCATCCATGAGAAAGGGAGGACTTAAAACCTACCAAGGTGGGAGGATCCAAAATCTACCACGATAAAGGGAAGACTTGTGGCCTATCATGGTGAGATCTGCTATGGTGGAGGGAGGACTTGAAGCCCACCACAACGAGAGGACCTGAAATCCGCGATGATAGAGGGAGGACTTGAAGTCTACTCTGACGTGAGGACTTAAAAATCCACTACGATAGAGGGAGAACTTGAAGCCCGCCATGGCAGGGGACCTGAAATCCATCACGGTGGAGGGAGGACTTGAAGCTCGTCATAAGGAGAGAACCAGAAAATCGCCATAATGGAGAGAGGACTTGAAGCTCATCATGGCAAGAGGACTTAAAATCTATTGCAATAGAGGACTTGAAGCCCACCATAATAGGAGGACCTAAAATCCACTATGGTGGAGGGAGAACTTGAAGCCTACTAGGGCGAGGGGACTTGAAATCCATCAAAACGAGGGGACCCCAAATCCGCTAAGATGAATGGAGGACTTAAAGCCCGCCATAATGGGAGGACCCAAAATCTGTCACGATGGAGGGAGGACTTGAAGCCCACTATGGCGGGAGGACTCAAAATCCACTATGACAAATATGCAAGGCCAAAAGCACCTGAGATACATGATTCGGGAAAACCCAACTCGCATGAAGAGAAATCCACTACAGTAGAGGCTCAAGGCCAAAAACGTCCGAGATGTATAAGTTAAGAAAAATCCAACCCTCGCCAAGGTAAATCCACCACAGCGGAAGTGCAAGGCCAAATATATCTGAGACATATGAGTTAGAAAAATCCAACTCACACCAAGGTAAAACTATTATAGTGGAGTCACAAGACCAAATGCACTCAAGATGTGTGAATCAAGAAAACCCGACTTGCATAAAAAGAAATCCGTTATAATAGAGGTGCAAGCCAAATACGCTCGAGATGCATAAGTTCGGAAAACTCGATCTACACCAAGAGAAATTCATCATAACAGAGACATATGGCAAGATATGCTTGATGCGTGTAAGTCAGAAAACTCGATCCACACTAAGAGAAATCCACGATGACAGAGGCACAAGGCCAAATGTACCTAAGACACATAAGTTGAGAAAACCCAACTCATATGAAGAAAATTTACTACGGTAGAGGTGCAAGGCCAAATGCACCTGAGACACATAAGAAGGAAAAACCCAATCCGTGTGAAGAAAAATATGCCACGACAGAGGCACAAGGCCAAATGTGCTCGAAACGTATAAGTTAAGAAAACTTGACTCATGTGAAAAAAAAAAAAAATCTATCACGACGGAGGCACAAGATCAAATGTGTATAAGATACATAAGTCGAGAAAACTTAACCCACATGAAAAAAAATCTACTATGGTAGAGGCACAAGGCTAATGTGCCCAAAACACATGAGTTAGGAAAACCCAATCTACATAAAGAAATTTGCTATGATGGATACATAAGGAAAAATATGCCAAGGCATGTGAGTAAAAAAACCCCAACCTATGCCAACAAAAATCCACCATGGCAGATGCATAAGGTCAATGTGTTTGAGACACATGAGTCAAAAATACTTGACCCATATAAAGAAATATACTATGATAGAGGTATATGATAAAATATGCTTGAGGCGTATGAGTCGAAAAAACTTATCAAAAAAGCCCGACCCACAAAAAGAGATCTCAAACACTCCTATGATAAATGAACTAAATGACGCTCTTTGAGCCCCTCTTACAAGGACCCTAAAGCATACCTTTGGAGGGGGAAATAATAAGAAATATAATGTCAATTAACACGTGATTGCCACGTGGGATTTGAGTCACCCTCTATCTATCTGTCTATACGGAAGAAGGCAAACACAAGTTTTCTTCTCATTCATTATGACAAGAAAGACAATTATAAACTTCTTTCTCGTCCATTATGATAAAGAATTTAATCACAAGTTTTCTTCTCATCCATTATGATGAGAAAAATAATCGCAAACTCTCTTCTCAAATATATCTTAAACATAATGCAAATAACTTTTTTGAATTATTCGAACCTATATTTGGAGACATCGAATTACTAACTTGAGCTCGTAGGAATTGAGTCGAGAAACCTATTTTGATCTTGATCTTCGTATAGGTGATATCTCGAGAGCACATGTTTCCATTTCGAAGACATCTCAAACAATTCTATGCATATGGGATCGGACCACGTCAAATTGATAAAGATATTAATGATATTTTTTCTTAATGTGATTTACATGCCTTTAAATTACATCATAAAGAAAAGATATTAAGATATGCTTACACTTAAAATGCAAATTTGGCATGTGCAGATGAAGCACAAGTTGCATGGCACATTTATCTTAAAATCATTGTTTATCGATTATTTCTTGTGAATGGCTAATTTATAGTTTGTTTACTATGCCTAGTATTTTTGGGATTTTCTGTAATAATTTGCATGTATAAACAATTATTTGGTTGTCTCCTCCTTGTTTAATTTGTTTAGATAACTCAATTTCTCTAAGAAAAATGTCATAATTCTCGAGCAACTCATTTACTTCAATTACAACACAAAAGGAAACAACACCACACACAACATGCAGCTCATCAAGATCGTTCATCGGAGGAACAGCGAAAGAGAAGTGAGCAGCAGCGGCAGCAACCCGAGGATTCCGTGAAGCACGCGACACCTCGTGCCTTCCGACGTGTAGAAGTAGTAGTATGGATATGACAGCCCTCCTTTCGGCCCTTCCTCGGGAGCCGGTGGTGCCGGTTTCGATGGTGACGGAGTCGCCCGGGAAGGCGGAGGCGGTGATGATGATGATGGCGGCGGCGGCGGCGTGCATATCACCGGACACGTGTCACATTTGCTGATGCACAGCAACGACCTATCGTCCGGCGGCGGCGGAGGCGACGGCGGCGCGCATGTGACCGGACACGTGCTGCACTCGCCGATGCATAACAGCGATCCGTCGTCCGGTGCCTCCGCAGGTTCACCTCGTGCAACCATGGCGGACGACAGGATGGGGATGACGAAGAGCCAACAGCACAGCCATGGCCTTCTTGAGGAGGCAAACTGGGCGCTATACTCCATATGCTCGGGGCATTCGTCACTTGGAACCGGAAGTCTCCTGCCTCGGACGATAGGGAAACTTATACGGCTGCTAAAGCCAGTGGAAGTTCCTAAATTGCACGATGAGTCTGGCCTTTGCTGTAAAGGACGGAAGGCAGAGATGCTTCTCAAGGCTTTGTCTTGGGAGCTAAGGTTGCAAAGATGCCCCCAATTTTGTGTCCTATAAAAGTGTTACTTGCAACACGTAAAAGCTATGACAAAAAAAAAAAAACACACATAAAAGCTTCTTTTTGGGAGGTTCTTTGCATACAATTAACTGAACAAAGATATGATGTAGCAGATGTATCTTTCAATTTCCCCCTTTTGGGACTGAACTCTGCCATTAAACTACACTTCAGAGAAGCATGATGGGCAAGTAAAAATTTACTGATAGATGGATTTCCCATTTTCTTTCAATCAGAGTACATGGTCATGATATATTAAGCAGTATGTATTTCTAGAGAGAAGCCAAGGCCTGAAGTTAAAACAAAGGGAGACACTGAGAGAGAGAGAGAGAGAGAGAGAATCTATAGCTCAAGAGGGTCTACCTTGAGAGCAAAGGATAACGTATTCTTGTGCAAGCATCAGATTCTTAAAGTGCTAAGAGTTATTGTTGCAGGTGAAGAACTTTATTCGGCTCAAACTCTGCTTTTTGATTGAATTGGAAAATTGTGAAAAATCACTACTCTCAAAAAGATAAGCCATATTTTACATCACTATTCCTGTTTCAAGAACACATGCAGCTGATTTGATGAATAATAACAAGAACCACAAAAAATAAAGTTACTTATTATTGGTAAATGATACAAAAGGTCCCATGCTTACAGATTCACAGATGACGACTGCAGTTTAGGGGGAGACGGCGCGAATTATCTTCCAGACATGAGACTGGCAAGAGCTTGGTTGTCAAAGAAGGAACCGATGTCCCAGTCTTCGGTAGCAGAAGATAGTGTCATCAGCGAAACTACAATTTGCCTCATGGTTGGCCTCTGCTGAGGATTCTCTTGAGTGCAGCTCTTTCCAAGCCATGCCATCTAGAACAAATAAACAAGAAGCATAGTTCAGCAATATGAGGTTTGCCATCACAAAGCAATTATGTGATTGGCTACTTTCTCACCGCAAGAACCGAGTCGATTGGATAGTCCTGACCGAGCCTTGGATCAACTAAATTCCTCAGATCTTCCTTGGGATCAGGTTTACTGAAAGCCTCCTCAAACTGTAGCATGCAGGAGGAAAAAAAAACTAATCATTGTTGAATCACTCGTAAGAAAGTTTTGTAAAATGCAAACAAAAGCCTCGACTTCCAAAAGAGACATGTGATTCCACATTGGTATCACCGGATTTACAACTAGTCAATGTCTGAGAAATGGATGATGCAATTACAATAACAGGATAGTAGATGTCATTTGGTAAACCTCAAACCAGATTTTTGTTCATAATGCTGGACAATTTAGGAAGAGAGCTTATAATGAGTAAAGGATCAGAAAATAACCAAAGCAATCAATCCCTTCGATTCCGTGACAGAACCGCCTGTTTTAACAATTGCGTCTTTGGCTGAAATAAGTTCATACAGAACAACTCCAAATGCATAAACGTCCACCTTAGGAGAAATCTCACCATACTGTGCATACCTGCATGATAAATTAGACAAATTACTAGGCACAACATGCATGGACCTTTACAGAGCTTGTTGCTTTCTGATTCTTGCTATTTCTACAGAGACATGATAATTTAACTAAATCGCTTATTGTTGTATAATAAATATTCTACAACTTTAGTGTTATCTCATGATGGTTCATATTACTGGCTTAAATGGCTTAAATGCAATATGATGAATGATGAATGGTGGTGTCTTTTCCTCTGCTTTGTTGCCTATATTTTGGAGGTCTTATTATTCTAACAGTGAAATATTCATATCAATTTATGCTTTATAATTGTCCCTATACCAGGTCTTTCCCCACCTAGCACAAGAGCTCATCATCAAGGACAAAAGTAATAACAGTAGCATGACATAGCCAGTGAGGATTTAACCCTCGGTCTATGGGAATAGAACCCAGATACACACCACCAAGCTAACCGGTTGGGTGTCGCTAGCTTGGGCTCTTACCCTAGCTGAATTGCATGTATAGTTGGAGCAAAAACAAATTGTTTAAGCACAAAAATACCCTTAATTTAAAAGTCATTTCAACAAGATATTTTAGGTGGAAAGCCTTAGTTAAAGGAAACAAGGGGATAAAAGTGGGTTGGGAAAATGACGTTAATTCAGGTCAATTCTTATCTACATTCATTCATTGTCACCCTCAATCAAAATGCCTTTTAGATGATTCAAAATATTTCCATTGGTTTTCCTCTTTGTTCATCCATGAAAGTTTTGACATGGATATTTTATCATATATGACCATGTGATGTTCAGGACACTAGTCAATTACAAGATAACAGGCAGGTATATTGCATTAATATGTACAGAGCATAAATAGAAACCATGAGGAACATATATATGTGTTTGAGATAAGAGAGGCTTCATATTTTTCTCACTCTGGAGGCATGTAGCCAAATGTGCCAACAAGCCGTGTTTGCAAAGATGCACCTACTTCAGTGAGTTTTGCTAATCCAAAATCTGCAACCTGCAAGACAACCAAATAGTCAGCACTGAACACAAAGGTTTGGCTTTTCAGTTAAAATGATAATGATAACCTTTGCACGGTAGTTCTTGTCTATCAATATATTTGCTGATTTAATATCACGATGTATATACACTGGAACAGTATGCTCATGGACATACTCTAGACCCCTGGCTGAATCAAGGGCAATCTGCACCCTCATGGCCCATGGCAGAGGATCTCTACCTATAAGCAAATAGAAATTCCTGGCATCACGGTATTTAACAATACAAGATTTTTTATTGATAGGTAGCAAATTCAGAATGCCTACTTTTGCACAGTCCCCTTACCTAACCCTCGCATATGCTCACTTAAGTTGCCATTTTCAATGAATTCATAAACAAGGAATAAGGAAACCTCAGTACAATATCCTATCAAGCGCACCTGCATAAAAGGCCACACAATATTTAAGCATTACAAATAGAGACTTCTATAGTTGACAATGAAGTTTACGAGAACTCTGTAGAGATTTGGGGTTTCTTATTTGCTGCTAGATTTTCCACAGAATATTTAGGCGCTTTTTCAATTTCACCAGCAATACAAATCTGCATAGCACATGCAGAAAGCTTGTAATTGAACAAGTATGTTCCAGTGCTGTAGAATTTAAACATTTGAAGCAGTCCAGCAAATGCTTACATTTCCAGTATTTAATCTTTTTTGTAATCAAAATTCACATTAATCAGATTCGTCCTATGGCAGCATGTCATAGGAAGTAAATTGATAGATAGATCATAGATAGATATCCAGCTAAAAAGATCTTTAGAGGCTAAGGAATCTTTAAATTTTGGTTGAGATTTAAATGCTAAGAATCCAAGAGCCTAGTTGAAAGGAATATGTGAAATCATTCACCATTACAGCCAAAAAGCTTGACAATTTTAAGTTGATTGGCCAATATATATGGATTTTAAACTTGCTACTTGTACAAATCATGTCGTAGTCATTATCGTACCTAACTAGTTTTCATAGATAAAGAATAATTTCTTTTGGACCATAGCTATGCTACTGATACATGTTTATTAATAAAAAATTGCATATCCATGAATTATCATGTATATGGTACTCTTTTAAATTGAAGATAAGGTCTCCAAAGGCTTTCATGAATGCTTCCAAAGCCTTATAAGTTTAAGCAAAGGCAACTGCAAGTAATTAAGGTTGTTAGATAAATTAGAAATAATGTAACATGAGAATTGTGTTGCAATCCCATGGTCTAAACTAAATTAAAGAACGTCATAGATGGGTAGAATGTGCAAGTCAACTAGCAAGCAGAGAATTTACCTTAATAATTTCTACTTTAAAACGAATTCGACAGAAGAAATTGACTTGAGAAATTAACAAGATATCACCATAGAATTTGATAACAATTGATATCTTAAGTGATGAGACCACCAAAATTAGTAGATTGAAGACAAAAATAGTCAATATAAAACTACTGGTCCCATCACATCCACATTACAAGTGATTGAATTGAAACTTACCAAATTCAAGTGATGAACATTTGTTAAGACTTTCAGTTCAGCAAGAAATTCATTAGTTGCCTGCATATCCATTTTCTTGATAGCAGCTTTCTGCAGAACATCAAGAAACTTGAGAAAAGTAGAGGAAACCTAAAAACAATTAAGAGAAGAGTAGATATAGAAGAAAGGAAAAGCCAACATTTTACTGATACAATTGAAATCAAGTACATCAAAGAATGGAAGAGATTTGACAGTTATTTATGCTCCTGTGTAGGTTTTCTGTTCACAATCAAGATGCCTAAACTTGCAAGTCAGTGGAAGTTGATCTAGCACTTCAAAAATCAACAATAAAAGAAAGATTTCAAAACATGTAAGTGAGGCAATTTAACTTGCAGCAACAAATCACAACAGATTTAAAAAGTTAAAAGTGTCCAAAACCTCATTCTTTTCTATTAATAGAATTTCTAGACCTCATGTTACAGAAACGCGTGAATCTTAGAAGGTACAACATAGAAGTGCATTTGGTGGATGTCATCTAACAACAGTAGAAGTAGCCAAGCATGGAATCAGTACAAAGTAAATTTTAAAAAATATTAAAATGATATTGGGTAGCTAACCTCTCCTCTAAGCTCAGCATAATAAACAACTCCAAAGCCACCTCCTCCGATTTTGTAAGCCAGGCTAAAATCATCTGTAGCCGCAGCAAGCTCCGCATAAGAGAACTCCACTGATTTATCGACAGTAATACCTGCAAATGGGGAACTACCATCTGCTGGAGATGTAACCACTCCTGGCTTGTACATGGAAGCTGTTGCTCCAAGAAGAAAGAAGGTGCCAACAGTCAGCCAACAAGTATTTACCATACCTTGAGTGTCCAGAACATATCAGAAGCAGATGTAGAGAACAGATCTGAAAAAGCTAAAGCATAAGTATCTGATGTCTTAACCACAAAGCAGTCAATCTAGATTGTTCTCAAGAATGGAGGAATGTCTTAACCTTATTACAAGGTAATGAAAACAGTCTCACCATATAAGGAGGTAAGACCAAGTACATTTGATCCTCCTATAACTAGCATAAGTGGGAGCTTTGTCCATTGCGTTGCCCTCCAAAATATCAGCATAAATATCAAATCATATCAGACATACGACACATATTTCAATTCATTATTCATTGTTTTGTGGACCAAACCCACGTATATCAAATGATTTTTTGCTAAAATCATCGAAAAATCCTAAAACAGTTTTTTTTTAATCTAGCTGATCTGTACCAGTCGGACCCGTGCTTACCAGTGCACCAATATATCATGTATCAGTATGACGTATGTACCAGACACATAATAGTGCACACCCATGGTCCATAATGTATTGTACTCACGTGATGTTCATACAATCTTTATTTATCAAGTTAGATCCTCATCAAAGAAAACCTCCTTAACACCAAAGAGTGGCTTTTCAGCACCTATTTTATGAATATACCAGGTCATACCCTCATCCAATCCAACCTTCTTTGGTTTTCCAAACAGGACGGGACTGCTACTCTTCCTTTCCTAGTATCCAATGAATTCCTTGTTCTAGCCATTATCTTTCTTTATCTTTTATCAAATCAAGCTAATCGTTGTCCTTATCCAGCCGAAGCTAGTTGCACAAGTTTCAAGACACAACAAGTTCTCTTTATCCCATCTTCCAAACCGATTAAACCATTTATGATTTCAGATCAGACTGAGTCTAGCCCAGACTGTAAAAGTTATAGATTGGAGAAAGCAGAACCTTTTTATGATTTCTGCCTCATAAATTAGAAAAACTGACAGAAAGTAATTACAAATACCATGACTGTTCAGCACAGAGATACCTTCAGGTGGTGATGAAAGCAATGAGGCTTTCTTCAACTTCTTTCTCCTTTGAAAATGAATATATAAATATATAGCAAATATTAGTAGAACTACTCCAGCTATAGAAATTCCAGCAATAGCTCCCCCCGACAGTCCTGTTGTTTTTCACATCAGAAATTATAAGCTACTCATGTTAGTTGGAAAGACTATGAGATGTACATCATGTATCAAACTTGTACTCTTCTGTGATAAAGACAAGCATCTTTAGTGGACAAGAGCTAAAACGGCCAATTACCTGCACTGAAATAGTACAGTAATAAAACATTCATATTAGAACAAATTAGAAGATAAAAATATAAGTTAAAGTAGTAGCCAACTATCAATATTTACCTTGAGGAAAGGGGACGATAACTTCCACTAGTATCTGCAAAACCATGGTAAATCATTTTAGCAGTCATAAACTTGAGATCAATCATAGTTCCAGTTTCCTGACTACTTCAATGAGAAGTTTATGTTAGAGATCAAACAAAGTTCCATCCATTAAAGTCAGTGGAGCCACTTAACAAGATATCTGAACTTCTCATAAATATCCATCCAGAACTGACCACATAAATTTTAGCACATAGAAGTCATGTATTTAAATGCCACATAAGTTTAGTCAATTGAATATCAGAAAACCAATCTTGGTTGTAACAGTTTTACTCACAAAACACATAAATGCAGGACTAATATAGATCTAATAAACTTAGCACATGTTATAACTTACAGATTTCTGTATTTTAACTTATCTTTTATGGACACAAAAATGACCTAGGAAGAAATATCATTCAGTAAACAGGTCAAAACAACAAGTTGAATAGAAAGCAGGAAATATAAAATTGTATTTTAAAGAATGTGCAAAACAGATGAAGTAATTAGTCAATTACTAGTCTTTGTTGATACATCCGGTTTGATTAGTATATTGTTGCACAAGTGATAGGTCTCAGATTTGAGTCCACGTGTGAGCGTCATATACGTCATTTAATGTAATGAATTTTTTTCTAATTTAAAAAATAAATAAATGATCAATTACTAGTTCCAAGATTGAATTGTCATAAGCATATCAACCATACCTAGTGAATTACTATAGTCTACCCAAGTGTCAGTATGCATCTCATTCTATGTCAAGCATACTGATACACTCTTGGCAATGTGGCTTGCTTACACCAACTGACACGAGCTTTGTGTCGCAAAGTGCTAACTGATACATACTAGCCCGACTTTGGTGGGGATTTGTGCATGAAGGTTTGTCTTCAGTAACTCTTTTCTATATGTCACACCACCTGATAAATAGTATTCCAGTGGTGGCAAGGACAACTCAAATGCGATTTGACTTTTTGTGAAACTGAAATATGTACCTCCCATAAGTCAGATGAGGAAAAATACAAATCTAACAAGAGCATTGTGGAATCGAATACAGTACCTGAGTGATATTAGTATATAAATAAAAATGTTTTTTGCAAGAAAATCCACTTAGCTATGTTTAGGTTTAGTTCAAAAGATTATGCTTAAAGAAATGGTGGTTAGCAACAGCATTAAATCATAACTCATGCTTGAGATGCCAACTTGAAGTTTTTAAAATAGCAACTATGGTGAGATCTTATGCAGGTTCTGTTGTTCTATGGATTATCTGTCGACATGGATAACTCAACATAACGAGTCTTCAGTAGTTTAAAACAACTATGCTCAGACCAGCTGCCCCGGAAGAACTAGAGACACTTAAAGAAAGAAAAACCGTAAATGCATGGGCTTAGCCAGCTCAAATACATGGGTGGTAAAAGACAGTGAACATCATACAGTCTGATGCTGTTCGTTGGGTCACTGGAGGTCTCATCATACTTAACAGAATCGAGGAACTTTGCACAAAATTGACATAGCACCTTTATGCTCTTAAGGCATCCACCATTGAAATTTCTCGAAAGGATGCATAGAATTCATTTTTCATGATTTTTGATGTTCAAATATATGTGGCAGGCCCTGGCTATAGGTCTTATTTTGGAAACCTCTCCTCCTACGGAACAAGAGGAAAATTGAGAAAACCATATTTATTATCAGATCTAACTAGATTTGTCAAAACACAAGACAAGAAATCTCTACTTACTTGCAGACTTCATTTAACTAAAATTCCTAATCACCGGCATCAAGAGGGCTTACCTTTCGCAGGGATAAACACGATCCCTGTCCCAGAGCTGAAATTCGCCTGGGGGTTATACCTCTGCAGCAAATCCTCCTGCGTGGCGAACCCATTCGCGGCAGCCACCGACGATAGGGTCTCCCCTGGCTGGAGAGGGTAAGTCAGGAACAGCCCGTAGTCCTTTGACACCGACGAATCACCGCATGAACAATTCACCACCACACCGATGGTCGCTCCAGTCGGCACGTTGGTCGCCGGAAAGCTATTGAACGTAGACAGCATGTCAACCGTTGTCAAATTTTTATACACAGTTTGGGCGATCGAAGTGTAGGTGTCGCCTTGAACGACGACGTAGGAGAAATTGTGGCCGAGGAAATCGCCATTGAGGCAGTCGCAAGAGAAGAAGACATTGACGCGGCCTCCGGTCTTGATGCTGTTGACGTTCGTGATGTTGGGATTGTAAGGGAGGAGATTGTTGGCGCCACCGGCACTGAAGAGGTTGGAGATGTAGGTGAGGTTGTCATTGGAGGTGAGGTAGTAGGATCCCAGGGCGAGGTTGCAGCCTGTTTGGCAGGACGATTCCGATCGTCCGAGGAGGAGCGAAGCGACAATTAGGAGGACGAAGGTGATGGAGCTCGATCGTATCATCTTGGTTCGGAGATGAAGAGCAGCTTGACCGAAACCCTAACATCGCTCCATGCCTCGCCTCCGGTGCGACGAATAAGAGGGGGAGAGAGAAGGGTTGGGAAGAGTTGACCCGCTACTGGTGTCGTCTTCTCACGGCGGCTCACGAGTGGGAGTTGTACAGGTGGCCTATAAGTGAGCTGGTTCGCGCCGGCGCGAGGAAGATGGACGATTGGGGATGAGCCAAATAGCCACACGGTTCTACTCTGGTCAAAGGTTGAATTCGTTGGTCAAAATGAATAAAGTTTGATTCTGATTTCTGAAATTATATCTTTAAATAAGCCAAATTTGCATATTCAATCATTAATAAATCATGGAGCCAAATATGTCGTTCTTAATAATTAAATAAACTCAAAAGTAAAATATGCCTTTTTTTTTAATTGAGAAGAACGTATTTTTTATTGTTATTAATTTATATTTTATATAAAATATATGTATCTTTGATTAAAAAAATAGTTTATTTTAAATAGAAATTGTAATAAACTATGCGTCAATCTCAACGTCGATTCACTGGACAAAATGAAGAATTGGTGATAAGTTAAACTTGAGTTGGGCTCCAGCTCGATTCCTGTTTTAATTGGAGCTCCGGCTGGCTAAAGACAAGAAGCCGAGTCGAGCTCGAGCCCGGCTTATTCCGACCCTACTCCGAAAACTCATGGCTCCGTTGGGGCCCGGGCAACTTATCCAATCAGGATGAGGTAAAATTATGGGGAAACCGAGGAGATTAGAGGCCATAGGACATATTATACTCATGTCGGCGTCCATAATACGTATGTGATTGACGAAATGGTCCGACGAGAGGGACTCCGTTTGAATCGAGTAATGAGTCTATTTGATCCTTTCAAAAGAGGGAACGGTTCGACAACCGTGTTTGAAGGGTAGAATGCCTCGGGAGAGAGGGATGGAAACAGAACAAGAGAAGAAGACGGATGGAGGAGAACCGCGTGGCTTTGGGATCTGTAGTCGTGTTGCTTCGTCAAGTCACAGGAATAAAAAAAAGGTGTGGCTTTGGGATCGATTTGGCGTCTACCCGTTTCGCCTGCTACCTGCTTGAGGAAATTACTAAGAGGAGAGTCGAGCGCAGTGCATGTGGGAAGAGTAGTACCATGTAATGGCGCGCCCTTGGAGTCGGATGGAGGAGAACCGCGTGGCGGAGCTGGTGAAGCGGTGCACGACCATTGGCCAATTGAAGCAGGTCCATGCCCACGTCGTTGCCGGCGGCCAGTGCCAAAACAACTTCGTCATCACGAAGCTCGTACGAAGTTTCGCAGAGTTTGGCGATCTGTATCATGCAAGAGCAACTGCTGATGTTCTCCACACCCCCAATGTCTTCGTGTGGACAGCTCTCATCCGAGGCTACTCTCAGTCTTTTGTTACCGGTGGTTGCGGAGAGGCTTTGCTGCTCTACACACGGATGTGCCGAGACCCAGAAATCAAGCCCCTCACCTTCACCATATCGTCGGTCTTGAAGGCTTGTGGTCGACTGTTGGCTTTCCAGGAAGGAAAGCAGATTCACGCTCATGCGATTAAGCAGGGGTTCCAGCTCGATTCTCGTGTTCAGACGACGCTTATCGACTTCTACAGCAAGTGTAAGCAATTGACGGAGGCGCGAACGGCCTTCGACGGGATCGTTCGAGCAGGAGCGAAGGATGTCCAGGCCTGGAACACGATGATCGCTGGTTATGGGGAAGCCGGCGACATGGACACCGCCCGTGCCCTGTTTGAGATCATGCCGGAGAGGAACACCGTCACGTGGATCAGCATGATCGGTGGATATGCATCGGTGAATCAGATGGATTCTGCTCACCAACTTTTGCAACTGAGACCAGCTAACGGAGAGGAGGACGCGGTCGTGCACACAGCCATGATCACCGGCTATGCCAAATGCGGGGATATCGTAGCCGCTCGATCAATCTTCGACGAGATGCAGGAACGGGATGTTGCTTCGTGGAACGCCATGATCTCAGCTTACTCGCAAGCCAACCTCAACGACGAGGCATTGGATCTTTTTAAGCTCATGTTGAGCACCACCGGACGATGCAAAGTGGAACCGAACTTTGCCACCATCGCCACCATCGTTTCCGTCTGTGCCAGTTACGGATCACCCAGCTTGGCAATTTGGATTCAGGACTACATCGACCATTGCGGCCGCAGGTTGTTGAACAGCCACACCGTAGCAGCACTCATCGACCTCCATTCGAAATGCGGGGATTTGGACAAGGCGTGGGAGTTGTTCCGGGGGTGGAAGCACAAGGACTTGATCTGCTATAGTTCGATGATAGGTGGCCTGGGAATTCATGGGCGCGCCAAAGACGCCATGGAACTGTTCGAAGAGCTAAGAGAGGTGGGAGTGAAGCCGGATTCCATATGCTTCGTCTCGGTCTTGACGGCCTGCAGTCACGCCGGGTTGGTGGACGAGGGGCGCCGATACTTGCGGTTGATGAGAGACGAGCACTGCATCGCTCCAACAGCAGACCATTACATGTGCATCGTGGACTTGCTTGGCCGTGCAGGATGCATCGACGAGGCATACAGATTGATGACCGTCGACGTGCCTCCGGGTGTTCCGCTGCGTGCCGGCGTATGGGGGGCACTTCTGAGCGCGTGCAGGACTCATTCCAACGTGACCGTGGGGGAGGCGGCGGCGAGGCGTCTGATGGAATTGGAGCCTGAAAACGCCGGGAACTACGTGCTGCTCTCCAACATATATGCGAGAGCTGGGAGGTGGGAGGGCGTAGCGCAGGTACGGGCACTGATGAGGAGCAGAGGGACGAGGAAGCCGCCGGGGTGGAGTTTGGTGGATGTGGAAGGTGGCTCGGCGAAGTTCTTGACCGGTGAGGTCTATGATAGGAAGCTGGATATCGTGTTGGATTTGTTGGATTGGGAGCTCAAAGATCAGGGCTACCTTATGGTGATTGGGGAGACAGAATGAGAATAATTTTTTGTCATATGCTGGTCATCTCTGAAAAGATTGGCAATGTTGGTGGCGTCTGAAACCAGCACTAACTACATAAACCAGCCAAGAAGCTGAAGTATTTACAGGTATGTAGTAAGGCGGTGCAAGCTAAATCATGGCCAGACTACTCAACCTCATTTATGTATCTCATTTCATCTTGATCCTGCAGAATCATTTATCTTCAAACGGGAAGCAGGACGGAGGAGGCATATCACCTTCGCTGAAGAGAATCATGGTAACGATGGAAAAAAACAAATTTGACATTTGATGTAACACATTTTTTAAGTCTGTTAAGCTACTCGAAAGCCAATAAAAAGTTTGTAACTGAGCCAAGTTTAACTCGAAGATCCTCTCGACGACAGGTTCAACCGTTGATAAAGAAACAAAAAAAATAAAGTTCATATGTTGATAAAGAAAGATCCACTAAGAAATTTGGTTTAAATAGTAAGTTGGGAGTAATCGAAATTCCTAACGAGCTAAAGAACTTAAAAGACGCTTTTGAGTTGGTGTCGATAAACCCATAAGCCTCGTGCTTGCTTCACATCCAAAATACAACGATAGAATCATTCAGACTCCTTGGGGACACATTAAATAATGTCCGTAATCACAGAGGAACTGCGACTAGAAACCAAATTTCCATGAGCTTGGCAGATCAAACAACACAAAAATGAACCTGTTTTCATACTACTTAAGAGTAAAGCACTCTAAGGTGTAACAAAGCTCTTCTCTACCCTTCATGATCAAGTCTCATGAACCGTGTACCAGAACTTTTCTCACCAAAATTGTCAAGCCATAATTCCTCTAAACATGTATTTTTCCAAATATATTCTAAGAAACAAGCATCAGATTCTCCATCCGCAACATAATCAAGGATAAATAATCCACCTTACATGCAGAAAGTCATATATCATTTAATTTCCTTGTTTTTCCTTTCCCTAAAAGTAAACTCCAACTCGATGTCACATCTTAACCTGAAGTACCAAAGCCTTCAAGAGATCCAAATAAATACTCTGGGGGTATTACAAACGAGCAACATTAGTTTCTTGTGGGAGAATATGATGAGACTTCAACATCACTGTTTAGGATTTAGAGCATCAAGAAGATGCCAGACGAAGGTTGGGAAGATAGCTAACTCCATCTACTCAGAAGATCAAATTGTTGAAATGAAGATGGGAATTCTCCGGACAAAATAATGATTATATAATCATGATGGATAGAGATTATACATACAAAATCAAAACCAATGAAACAATAACCAAATATGACTTCAATTAGGTAAACTAAACTCATCTTTAATTATGTCTGATCTAGTAATGTTAATCCGACTACTCCACTTATGCTTATTGCTCTAACTCATACTATGCCGGATGATGAGGATAGTAATTATGATAAGACTCGACTGACATCAGATGACGTCTCACACCTCGATCCTGGTCAAACGGACCAGAACGTCGACCGAGGCGCATTTACGCCTGCTCAGGCTCGATTCTTCACGCCACGCCAACACCAATATCAGACGTCACCACCCTGCCCCCTACAAGCGAACACGTCAAGAAACAGTAAGCTTCCTTATAAATACCCTCGCATTCCGAATGGGAGGGGGGGAGAAAAACAGAGACAGAAAGACAACTTCCTCATCTGACTCCCCCTTTACATCGACTAACTTGATCGTCGAAGGGGTCGGGCCGAGCACCCCGACCCGAAGGTCTCTGCGAAACGCGAAGGCGAATTCTTGCTCGGAGGAGACAACGACATCGTCCCGACCACCGCAGACAACCACCTCGGCGGACTCAAAGGCCGTCGGGAAGATCCCTATCATTCAGACCCGAACCAAGCCGCCTCGATCCCAAGGCCACGACTTAAGGTTGTTTACACTAACACCGGATAAATACCTCACTCTAACTATTCTATACTAAACAAACTAAGCCAAGAAAACAGAATGCCCAAAAAAGAGCCAAAAAAATGCATACAATCAAAAGAATTAGGCCAACCATACTTGAGATACCAATTAAAATTGGCAACAAGATTAGGTGGAAAACCTACTCGATCAACAAAACATCAATAGCCAATCCTACCAAACCATGATCCAAGTAACATGCATAAATCACGATGAAACTAGAATCAAGTGTCATCAAAGAAAAACATAATTCAATAACAAGAAAGGATAGCCAACAAAAACAAAACATGTCCCTTTAACTAAAATGGAGTTGATGTAACAGCATCTCGATCCACAAGACTCATATCCCTTTTGGATCAACTCATACTAGCAAACAAGATCAGTCACCTTTCCGCCTGAAAGAGCAACCCTCGGTGAGCCTGGCACGGCCTCCTGTTGGTTGGCAGAGAACAGTCTGGCAGTTCCCGCAGACCACCACAGTTTGTGAGTGGCTGAAGACCGTAGTTCTGCTCAAGGCCATCAGAACAATCAACACTCGAACATTTACAAAGAACACCAGATCCCCGAATAATTCAAAGCCATGACATAAAGATACTTACATGTTGAAACAACCTTGGCATTTCACATCCTACGAACACCAAGCACAAGTCAGAAAACAGAAGGAATCAAGAAATAACGATTAGGACCAAACACCGGAGAGGATCTTCGTGGGGTTACCATGAAGAAGGAATTGGGCGACTGGACGAGGCGCTTCAGCTTATGCCTCCTCTTCTCGAGCTCAGCCGGTGGATTCAACAAATCGACGTCATTCGGCAGCACCTGTTCTCGCACACGTACAAAAGAATAAGGATCGACAACAAGAAAATGGACAAATTATCAATCTTTGAACAAATCATCGGATTCAGGAAATAGCCGATCGATTGAACTGAACTATTTAATCGGCTTATGTGAAATAAATACGGAGATGAGGGTTTACCATCGTGACGGAAGCGTGAGGAGCTCTCGGAAACCGATGGAAGCAGCGGCCGAAAGGGCGGTCGAGGGTGGAGGAAAGCCCTAACGAGAGGTTTATATATAGGAGTCTGCTACAGAACGTGGACCGTAGGATCGAAACATATAGGATCCAAGCCGCTCAGTTGGACAGCCCGTGGACGGACGGTAGATATGATGGATTGCAAATGAACCCAGTAAAGCCGGTTTACCTGACCCTAAACCAACTTGAACCGGATGCTTGAAACTTCATTGTCATGTAATCGATATGTCAGGGTAGTTTGGCAAATATTTCACCATCAAATGTCTTATCATTATTTGAATCATATAACAATTCTATGGGTCCAATTCTCAATCTTTATTTTCTTCTTTTACATCCTAATCTTAATGCATATCAATGCAACCCAATTTTGTAATAATATTATGATATCCTTATTTACTCTCACATGGAGAGGAGAGAATCTAATATACTCATAAGGATATTTTTATTATTATTTTAAGTTTAAATATTTTTTAATAATAATACGTTAATTATTTTATCAATTTAAATCATAATAAATGATATTAGAATCAACCTAATATTAGATATAGTAAATGACTCAAATAATAAAAGACTATTATTCGTAGGTGTAACTATATCGTGTATTAAAGCCCAACACTTAGTCCATATTGAAAATAAATAAAAAAATCTACATAAGTCTACTACTCTATTTAAATATATATATAGTTATTTTTTTTATTTATTAATCTATTTTTTTTATTTAGACAAGTCTAATATGCTTTGAAGCTAGCCAAGTGTGAAAATATATATCTTTCCTTTTGTTTCTATTTCACCTCGATGAGATTTAATGATCTCATTGGTATAAACATTGTCGGTGCATCACCATTAAAGAGGTTGAAAGAAGACGAAATAAAATATCTAGAAAACTTAGAAGATAAAATTTGAGAAATGAACACAAACTCCTAATTAAATAATAGTCTATGATATTTAATGCTCCGTTGCACAAAATCTACTTAAAAATATCTTATATGTTGTTTGATATAATAAATAAATTTAAATATATATATATATGATTAAACAATAGCAAGAATGCTATTAAGAATTTAATAAGAGGTGAGAAATGAATGCAAACCCCTAATCAAACAATAGGTGAGTTGATGTATAAAACATTAGTTTATATTTCACTCTCTTCTCTCTCTTTTTTTTCCTAGAGGTGTTATTACTTTTTGGAAGTTAAATGATTTTTGATAATTGAGTTTTGAGAGAACGAAACTCACTAATCTAATATTTATGTTCGAATACGGATTAACTAAGTTTGTCGTCATACAGTGATTAAAAAATCATTGAGATTTTGAGAGCATGAAACTTCTCATCGAACTTTATAAGGAAGCTTTGATGTGAATTCATGACATGAGATAGATGGGAAGAAAAATTCTAAAAAGGTTTTGCATGAATCTAAATTAAGAAAAGATAATTCGACATACACACTTAATTATATAATTAATTAAATCTTAATTTATATATTTTCACATAAATTTTTTTTATATTTAAATATATAATTTAAAAAAAATAATAAAAAAATAAACATACGAAGGACATCATATTTAGCATCGAGTGAATTAGCTATGTAAGTCTAAAACTATTCCATAATGATGTCGACCCTATGTCACGAGAGATCTTCGAATCGACATAAATCATCGTAACGCTCAAACAATTCAACACATGTCACTATAGTTAAATAATAATAAATTATTTTACATAACTATCTTACGATTGACTCTCTAAATTATTTTGTTTTCTACACTTAAAATTTAAGTTAAATCGTTAGTGACTTTGAATAATAACCTAACATTAAAAAAGACTAACGAAAACTTCAATGACAAACGAGACAACATCAAGATGAGATTTTGAGAGCACGATGAAACTTCTCATTCGATCTTATACTGAATCCTTAATGTAGAAGGAATAATTAATAATTATTCTAAAAAACTATTTTAGCACATATATATATATATATTAAAAAGAAGAAAAGAAATAAAAAAATATACAATTGCATCAATTTTCTTCAGATACCTTCAAAAAAAGAAAAAGAAAAAAATCTCAAAATTCACTATTAAAAGCACCATATTATTCGTTTATTATTCTGATATGGATAGCAAGGATTAATGAACACCCCATGCATAATTAGAGGAAAACAATCAAAATTCAAATTAGGACCGTAAAATTTATTAGCCTCCTTTGGATTCACGTTAAACATATTCTTATTCAGTAACATAATACATTAATTTAGAGAGAGAGAGAGAGAGAGAGAGAGAAGAGAGAGAGAGAGAGAGAGAGAGAGAGAGAGAGAGGATGTCGGGCAGCCATACACGCACGTCCCTCTCTGACCGCTTCAAAGCAGAAACCCGCAACTCCTCGCACGGCAGAAGACGGAACGCGTCCGCACCACACAAAAGACACCCACCGTTTTGTTCTTATTTTTGGGATACGGGCAATAGCGACACATAATTAATCGTGTTGTGGTGTTTGGTTTTTGTTTTTGTTTTTGTTTTCTCCCCCTCACTTATAATGTTTTTGTTTTATTTGTCCCCTTCGTTTCCTCCCTTCTTGCCATCTTTTTATTTGTTATAGCGAGAGAGCTCCTCCCTCCGCGGTCGCTGTTTCGCCGTCGCCGTAGCGTTTTCCTGCCGCTTTGGTTGGAACGAGGGCGACGATAGCCATCGCCATCATCGAATAGAGTACAAGACGAAGAAAACAAGAAGCGAAAGGGAGATAGAGATAGAGAGAGATAGAGATAAGGGATACGGAAGGGGAAGAAGGTATGAGCGATTTGGTGGCCCGCACCGGTCGACATCAGCAGCGATACGAGGCCGGTTGTCGCCTAGTTTCCGGGTCCCTTCCTCACCTTCCACCTCCTCGTGTTTCCTCCGTCAGCAATGGATGAAATGCTTTTTCTTTATTCGTTATTCTTCTTCTTCTTCGTCTTCGTCTTCGTCTTCTAACTTTCCTTTTTGTTATTCTACTTCCGGTCACCATCAGTGTGCAGTCGTTGCATTTTCCTTTTTGATGAATGATCTGATTGGTATTGCGGTTCGATTTCCTCTCTTTGGGTCCGATGATTGGATTCGTTGATTGATGCCTCTTGTCCCCTTTCTCTGTCTCGTGATGTTGTACTGAATCCCATAGTACCGACTGGACCAAACGGGTTGCTGTTGGTCTTTTCCTAGTCAGGGCCTTCTTGCTGACCCTATTTTTTATCCTGAATCAACAGAATGCGCAACAAGATGGAATTTTGTTGCGACGGAGTGCTGCGGGGCCTGGATTTGCATGATTGTGGTGCTTGTTTGTATAGTTGGGAGGGTTGAGGCACTTTCTTCTGTCCTTTTGAGCGACATATCATCCCTTACCTTGGTTGTGCGACGATATGCCCCATCAAGTTTTTTGTCTATACCATATTGGAGACTGCTTTGACAGGGGTGGGGAGGTTTTCGATGAATCGATCGGGTTTCCTAGTGGTTTTACACAAGAAAAATTCCGTCTTCTTCCCGATTAAGAGAACCGAAGGGTTCAAGTTATGTTGCCGTGTCTTCTCTAGGATGAGGATGGCGTTAACTCACATGCAATGTTTAATCCTTTGGACAAGTCATACGTGATCGTGCTTGATGCTTACTTATTCCACGACCATCTTTTGAGAGTGGAATGTGATTTGATTTGATTTGCACCATGTAGGTTCTTCACTTTTATGGTAGGAATGAATGCAACTAGTTCGATTACCTCAGTAATGTTGAAAGACATAGCCCGGTTCTCCATTTTGTCCTGCATAACTACATCATTCTAACTCTATAACACATCATGGTACAGCAACTCCATCCTGGAGATTTTTCCATGAATATAAGAAAGTAATCGGCAGCAAGATATTTTCCTCGGTTGCATTTTGTAGTTGATGTTTGCACATTACTTGTTATACTATGTATTTATTCTTTTCTAAATAAACCTTGTACCTTGTAAAACTTGTTGTTTCCTCTACGACATCATCTTGTGCATTTCTAATTGGGTTTGTGTTACGTAAGCTGAGGTTCTCTTGAAATTATTTTGAGAGAGCTTGCTTGGTAGCAAGCTCAAATTTTATCATATGGCCAAAGTAATAGAGTAGGCATGCTTTATCTTAGATGTTCCTCTGTTAGCACTCTATAGGTGTTGGACCTCAAGAAAAACCATATAAATTATTAAGATTAAGGTAGTAAGGGTGCACACTTGACTAATTTGCTCTTAATGTTCTATTGGAAGGTTGTTAGATATATTGATTCAAGAGGAACCTTCGGCAAATTGTAGAAGTTCATAGTTGTTTATTTGAAGGATTTTGCACCCAGTAAGAAAGTAGAATAATTCTTTTAATCTGGCACCTAGGTAGTAGTATTACAGGCTGCTGGGAAAGGAATATTCCATTCTCTGTATTGGGTTTGTTAGGTGTGGATGTGCTTTTCGCCTTGTGATTTGGTGCTTCACTTCTTTTTTATTGGTTATTTTTAACCCAAAAGCATTTTACTAATGGTTTTCTCTATAGCGTACCTGATATTTATTATGGTTTCCTCTGTTTGAGAGGCTTTGTTTTATTAAACTCATGATTTTTGTATGGTGAATTTTCATTTGTACAGAAAAACTGTGGATATGTGCAGTAAACTGTAAAATGAATTTTGGCAACATACTTTGCCTTTTAAGAATTGTTAGGGACAAAACAAGTGGGTGATATTATATTTATAAAATGATAAATGAAGTACTACGATTGGTGTAACTATTGGATGAATACATCATTTCATATATTTATTTGTTGAGTAGCTGTTTGATATCTGATTTGGCTAACAGATAAACTAACATGTTGCATTTCTGCAGGTGTATCCCATTTAGATACAGAAACTGTGATGACACTTCTGATGCCAAGCCTGATCCTGAGAAGGAGGTTGAAGTACTTATGATAAATTCACCTAGTGGACCAGGTCTTTTGTTTCCAAAGGTATGATATTTTAAGATTCATATTGTTATTGCTGCAGAAATAAGAGAGGACAAGGTTAGGGACAGAGAAGAAATGAAGTGGATTGTTGCTGTTCAACTGCTGTCTTGGATGGATGAATTCTCCTGTAATCTCATTTTGTTGTGTATGGATAATTTCCCTACACTGACCATGTACAGATGCTGACGTGAGGCTCCTATTAGAAAATCAAACATACCATCTCTCCAGTGAGGGCCTTATTACAATTAGAATGATCTACATTTTGTGATTAGATAGTATCACAAAAATATTACAAATTCAGCAGTCAGGTCAACTGAATTACTTAGCGTTCTGAAGTCCTCAATCAGTTACACACATGGGGGATGACAACTAACCATATCTTAGGTTTGATATGATCCAGATTTTACCTAGTTGACTAAGCCTAAAAATATCTGAACTTTTTGCCTGTTAGATTATACTGCCTTGTTCTTTGGATTATTTAAAAACTCCAACAATTTGTAATTAGCACTAATGTGATACTGGCATTATGTGACATCTCCATTACCATAAAGCAACATTTGCAATATTGTTTGGAATAGTTCAGTAGAGGCAGTATTTACTGGTTTGATAGTCTATCGGCTTTTACTGTCTAGTGCATGGCTTGTATTATCCAATACACCTGGCATTGGTCTTGTAGCGTCCGGTAGAGGGCTTGTACTGGGCAATTTTCTTTTATTTTTCATTTTTAATTTTTTTTTTCAAAATTCAGCGCATACTAGCATTTCAAAGAGATAGTATGTCAGTACAACTAGGACCCATATCGGTCCAAGCCAGGACTAGTGTGGATCCATTACTCTGAATTAAAAATCTTGCCATAACGACAATGACTAAGAATCTAGTGAATTTTAATTTGTTCATCATAAATTTATAAGCTACTGAAGTTTCATATAAGTATTTCATCATGCTTGTCAAAATTGTTTCCTTGTAGATCACCCTTATGTTGTGCACATTTCCTTTTGTCTTTGGCAAAGGTCAAACAAATTGATTTGGCAACTCCATGGTACCTCTCACATGGAAGTTACAGCATTTTTGTTGATTACTTACAATAACAATAGCCTCTTGTTAAGATGAGCATCCATACAAAAGGGAAATTTGGCAAGGAAAATAATATCCTATATGAGAATTTATTTTATGATATTTTTTGTTGCCTTTCCACAACCTTTTTTTTAATTTAAATTCATAACCTAAGAAAGGGTCGAAAGACTAGTAGGAATAGAAGTACTAAGACGTGAACACCTGATAATAGTGGTATGTATTGAGCTGAGGTCCCCATGGCATATTAAATGGCACAGACAAATTTTGGTTTTCCCAAGTGTCGATCCAGTACAAGTTGGTATAGGTTCTGTATGGGCCAATATAAGTTAATACCCTATTTCTGCTAAGCAGTCTCAGACCCAAATTATTGATCGGGAGGGATTCTTTGCCTTGCTTAACATACACCATCCTGCAGACATCAACTCTTTGGACCTAATCCAGCGCACTCAACTTATGCAACAACGATTGGACTATATCATGTCATGAGACCAGTGTGAAAAGTATAATAGTGAAAAATGTAACTTCAATATTGGTGAGCCAGTAGAACCTTCAGTCTCCCACGAACTTTGTTCCCTCTAGCTTTTATCACTGTTTTGGATAATTAATTGGTCAGTTATGAATAACTCTAGGAGTTAGTTGGACTAAATTAGAACCTTTAGAGTTCTAATTGCACTCAGTCCATTTGGAAGAATTAAGACAGCTATCCAGCATACTTATGTCTGTAACGTTTTGCCATGGCTTTCCTTTTTTCTGACTTCTAATGACTCCTATTCTATTCTTTATTCTTTTATCTTTGTATACTTTTCTTGATTTTTTCGGCTGCTGTCAAATTGCTGCAAGTTCTTACTGCTCTAGATCTTGTTATTGCTTTAACCCTAGTTATTACAAAGAGGATTATCTGAAATTCATGCTGAGATCGTAAAGCTGCTGCTGATTCCATGTAGCTGATTACATATGAAGAAAGCATAAGCCAATCATATGAGGCCAACCATTGAAAAACATTTAGGCAAATGTATACATGGATATATATTTTTCTGACTTTTAGATGATAAAAATGTAACAACTGTGAATGACAATCGGAGTGGACAGACCAATACAAATGTACAATTTTCAATGTGTACTTGCCAGTGGCAGTATTTTGAGGGCTTTATATGCTAAACCTCCCATGTTATGCAACTGCCTACTAAGTTTACTACCTAGGTAATTTCCCAAGCACTAAGGTTCTGATTCTGATTACTTAGGCTGTTTGATGAATGATCATTGTGACTAGGAAGGATTTAAATAAACAACCAGCACATTTTTTGTAGACATAAATGTTTGTATAAAACTTCAATCTTTTTCGATTTTGCAAGTCCTAGGTCCTATTTTTCAAATACAGCTATTAAATTAGGGTTGTTTGGCTGAGTGAAGATGGGCACCTCAGTTTTTGCTGCTGGTCTTCTGTTTTGCTGTTTTCTTCCCCGCTGTTTATAATTTTTTGAACTGCTGAAGCTTTGCATTTTAAATTCCCAGTTGCTGTATCTTATCAATTTAACCAAGCTAGTAGGCATTACATTAAATCAAAATTGTAGATGTCAGTTTAGATCAAGTATTCCTGCTCTGAGTATATGATAAATAATGCTGCTAATGGTCTGTTGTGGACCGAAGAATCAAATTTTGGGCTAAATCTTATCTTGATTGATTATTAGATGGTAGGTTTCTATAACCAAGTCTCAAATGTTGCATGAAGCATAGGTTCATTGAGAAGATCAATGACAGCCTAAGAGGGAGATATATTTGGACTTTACAGAGTCTGCTAAACTTAAGTTTGTGTTTCTATCACAATCAATTTGTAGCAGTTTGCAAATTCATGCTATAGAAAGTCTCCTATATCATATTCTGTCTTGTGTACCACACTTTCTATTTTTGTTCTTACTGTCAAATGTCATTTACATATGTGGTGTACTTGATTACCTACATATGTGGTGTACTTGATTACCAGCTCTATTCTTCTCATGAGCTATTTCAACAGGCATTGTACATTGTTTTGTGACTTCAGTCATTGTTTCTTCACAGGGAGGATGGGAAAATGATGAAACAGTTGAAGAGGCAGCTGTACGAGAAGCTCTGGAAGAAGCAGGAGTTCGTGGGGATATAGTAGTATGTTTTCTGACTTTTTTGATTCTTTATGATGTTATCTCTTGTGGTTAAAAGCCTATGAACTCTGAATTTTTCTGGCTGGACTACATTTAATGATCTTGAAATGATGCTCATCATATAAATGGCTCATAATTAAAAAATTGTATATGATACCCTTTTCGATAGCTAAATTGAACGTTGAAATGATGCTTATCATATAAATGGCTCACAATTGAAAATTTGTATATGATACCCTTTTCGGTAGCTAAATTGAATGTTGAATGTTGTGATTCTTTTTATCAAGGAACTAAGAACATTTCCCCGTCATTGTAGGAACATCTTACTTGGATCTCAATTAATGTAAAATTCTACTCTGGAGTCATCCAAACCTGTCAAAACTTGGTATCTTATTCCACAGCATGGAAATTTGTACCATATGCACATGTATTACATAATGGAGATGAACACCATCTTTCAAGCTGATTTAGTGCAAGTTGAGAATGTTACTTATTTTTTGCCATAATAGGTCAAAAGGCTCTCAAAATGCCGTTGCGTGTTGTTTCAATTTGAAGGATACTATGTCAACTAACAAGGTGGTGTTCTCTGTTAATTTGCTCAAGTTGGTTAGAGATTTTGGAACCTCAACTTTAGAAGAAGCTTTCATCTTTAGGGTGGATGATACATGAAAGTATTTTTGGATGATGTGACTCTTATACGAGATTGCTCTAATCATAATGTGTATACTAGGTTAGACTGCCTGATAACATTGATCTGAAATAGTGTGCTCATTAATGAAGATCTAACAAGCAAATAACCAATACTTTGATTGCTCGGCACTGTAGTACCCGAGAGTCATGAAGTCAAATGTCTTATTGGTTTACACTTTGATTTCTTGCCACTGTATCATACCATTGAACTCAGGTACATTTGCTGATAGCTACATTATCAAAGCTAGATACAAGCTGGATGAAATATTCAATTACGGAGATGGAGAAACAAAATGGTAGGAGTAGGTCGACTATAGATGACAAATCTTTTTTTTCTGCAGGAGATTAAAGAACATAGATGTTAGAATTACTGGCCCTTAAGGTGTACATGCTGTTTGGTGTGTCTCTATTTATTTAGTAAGTGAACCAACTCATGTTTTTATGACAGTCATTCTTGGGAGACTATATCTTCAAAAGCAAAACTCTTCAAGATGAATTCAGCCCAGAAGGTTTGTGCAAAGCCGCTGTCTTTGCCATGCATGTGAGGGAGGAGCTCGAGCTGTGGCCAGAACAGAGCACCCGCCACAGGACATGGGTCACCATACCAGAAGCTGCGGAGCAATGTAGACACCCATGGATGCGGGATGCCCTTCTTGATGGATTCATAAAGTGGCACGCCAGTACCATGGCAACGCCTGAAGAAGATGTCACGCCAGAAGGATAATCCTGCGTCTGAAAGCTTGCTTAATCAATCCCCCTTCATTCTTTTGTCTGAAGATGATAACACCAATCCTGTCTGAGAGTTATTTTCGCATTTTGCTAGTTAGTTTTCTTTCCTCATGCATATGCCATGTGATATGCAGTTAGTAGGCTAGCATCTAAGAACACAAACATCCTTCAAGGTGTTTGTGGATGTTTGATTAGAGTCATGGATATTGAGGGGCTGCTGCCAGTGTTCTTGCTCATGTAGTAACCACAACGTTACTGCATGCCCTCGAATATGCTCAACTACTTGAGAAAAGAAATAACACAATCTTTTCGTAGTTGAATTAATGTGCCTTTCGTGGCTAATTTCATTCAATTGTTTCTGCCAGCCACCGAGAGAAGTAATTTTTGTTGTTGTTGTTGTCGTTGTTATTGTTCGCTATACAAATAATATTTATCTCGATATGTTTCTTACGATAAAATCTTACTTTCATCACTTATCATGTTGGATAGTCCACGGATTCATACTCGGTTAAACTATCTTAGCATCTAAATACAAACTCCACTGGATCATTTATGTATAAATCCGAAGCTAATAAGATCCGATAAAAGAGTAAACGGGTCGAATAGATCCGACTATCAAATAATACATTCGACCCGTTATCATCCCATCTCAAAACACACATGTTCTTTTACCCATTTACGAGGTTTGTTTTGTTGGTCGTAAGATGCACTCGATTTGTGTGTGATGGTTGCACACGTCAAGGCAGCTTTTCCTTTGATCCAATTGCATCGATTTAACCCACGAGAGACACAAAGTGGTGTTGTAATAATTGAGGGCAGGTCCCAATTGCTCGACAAATTCCCATCTTTACTAGAACCTCACACGTATGCCAACATTGATGACGTGATTAAAGCTGCTCGCTCCTGTGACCGATAGAGACATGCTTCATGTGAGAGGAAAAGATATACAGTATTATTGTGCAACTTCACGTCGAAGAGTTAGCACGGCTTGATTTGATCTCGAGAATATAAAATTATCCAAATGATTTCTTGAGGGAGAGGGTCGGTATTCGGTCGGGTCGACCCGAGGTAGAGCAAAGGGTCAATTTTTTCGCATCGGATTCTTGCACACAGACCAAAGTCGGAAGGAGGATTCTTGACTTGATACATTTGAAGCTTATGTCAGTGAGGAGTTGAGGGTGTTGTGAGTGTTTGAGGTTCGATCCTTTAGCGCTAGCCAAAGGGTTAGCTTTTATACCTACAGTCAAGGGTTGGTTGTACACGGTTTGTTAATGAATGTCGACGTCGTGGGCGATCGACCTATACGCTCCGTGTGGTGCAGGTCGACCTACATGGCTCCACATCATGTGGTGCCGTCTCGTACCACCACAAGTGGTTCCATCCTATGCGGCGGCGTCTTGAACGACCTCGAGAATCACAGGGATGGTCCATCGTCTCGGGTTTGAAGAGTCACGTCGACGCACGTGCGCCACGTCGACTCCGAGGTGTCACATTGGCTCTAGGGTGACTACTAACTGTTAAAGTTGAGATAGAGCAAAGGGTTAGCTCTTCCATGTCGGGTTCTTGCACACACAGGCCAAAGTCGGGAGGGAGATTTTCGACTCGATCCCTCTGAAACTTATGTCAGTATGAGGAGTTAAAGGTATTGTGAGTGTTTGAGGTCTGATCCCTTAGCGCTAGCCAGATGGTCGACTTTTATACCTATAGTCGAGAATTGGGTGTATGCGGTTTGTTAATGATCGCTGACGTCGTGGGTGATCGACTTGTACGCTCCATGCGTTGTGAGCCAACTTACATAGCTCCATATCGTGTGGTGTCCTACCATTGTTTGAGGAACCTAACACATCTATACTACACTACTTAATGGATTTCATATGGCTCTAATAATTCAAAATAATCTTTCAAAAATAATTAAGAAATAATGACTCTTAGAAGCTTTATCTTTTACATAATTATGATTAGTTTTCATTATATATTACAATTAGAATAATCAATTGCTTTCCTAAAATCATTAGAATTCTTAGGTTATAGAAAAAGATGGTAAATTGATAAACGAAAATAGAGATAACCATATAAATATTACAAAGATTTTGAGGGTTTTATGAAGATTTATGTACACCTCACAAACATCACATGAATCATCTCATTAGACATAATTATGAGATATAGCATTAGAGAATCACTAACGACTTTACGAGTTTATGATACCATAAGTTAATCCCACAATTAAGGATTTTGAGTCATAACAAATGGTTTCATAACGGATATGAAATAATGTATGATGAAATCTTCTATAGAAAAGAATAGTGCAGAATCAATCTTATCTATCTCTTATTTAAATAAATTTGATTAGTTTAAATATTATTTTTTATATCATAAGTTATCACATAGCAACATACTGAATAATTTTGATCTATTTTTCTAATTTACTCAAAGTAGAAGAAAATATAATTAAAAAAAATTATGATTGTGATTGTAGATTCCTGATGGAAGATTTTGTAAAAATTGATCTTTACGAGGATGGAAGCATATCAATCAAAAATATTATCAGATCAAATTATATATTTGATCTAATTTAATTATAATTTTTTTTACTTATATATATATTTTTTACTTCACCTATAAAAAAGAGCAAGAACATTATAATGAAAATTAATCTAAAATGGATAAATGAAATGAGTTTTTTCCAACCTCGAGTGAGAATGGTGTGAGGCCATATTTATTTTCTAATAATATGATTTCATCATTCACATGCAAGACGTATGAAAGTTGGAGGCCTCGAGTTGCTCCTAAAGTGAGTTTAGTAGTTATTCTTTTATTATCTTTTAATTACTTTCTTTAATTTCTCTTCTTTTAGTCCGTCTATTATCAAAAGAAATCCATTGCTACTTGTCCTACATTAGATTTGGTATCATAGCTCTTTATTTAACGAAGATGTTATATCATTAAAGTTGATTTATATCTCAATTGTAAAAACTCTGGGCAAGTTTCTACACAGCAAAAGCAAATGATGCAAAACCAATTTTATCTCTCATATTCAAATAAATTTGATTGGTTTAGGGATTATTTTATATATCATAAGTTATCATATGGCCATACCGAATAATTCCAATCTAATTTCCTATTTTACTCAAAAAAAAAAGTGAAAAGATTTAAAATATCATATTATAATTATGATAAACAATTTTAAATTTTCATGAATGATTTTATAACAATTGATCTCTACAAGGATGGAAGCATATTAATTAAGAATATTATCTTTTTCAAAGAGAAGATCAAATCATATATTTATTTTACTTTTTTTCTTTTCTTGTACTTGACCTTAAAAAAAGGATAAAAATATTGTAATACAAATCAATGGATGAACGAAATAAATTCTTTTTCTACCTTAAGTACCGAGTGGTTCAAGACCACATTTGTTTTGCGATGACATAATTCATCGTCCATATACAATATGTACAAAGATGAAAGGTTTTCATCCGGGGAGCGTTCTCCTTGAGCAGAGCAAATATGATAATTATCCATTAAATTTTAAATTTAATAAAATAATTATCACATCAAACTAGATAATAATAATTAATATCCAAGATATGATAAAAGATTCGAAAAAAAAACAATTATCCATAGCCTTTTGAGCTCGACGGTGGAGCCACCACTACACTATCAAGTATAGTCTTTCCAATTAATTGATCCCAAGTAATTAACATAATTATGTAACGAAGAATACATATGTATATATATTAAAGTAGAGAGACTCGAATAAAACAGAGCTATCCACGGAGAGCTCGACGATAGATCTCAAGTTGGTTGCTTCAAATGATTGCCATACTCGAGCATAATTGCCATAGCATCAACTCGGCTCACTCACTCCAAGCAAGATGGTTCCGCTAATGTATTGCACTCTCTACATCAGACTAATCCAATCATGGAGTGGCTTTTCTGCAATGGCAGCTTCAACCTCTTCAGGCGATGTGCTGCATCAAATACTTCAGCGAGCGAGTCTTTCCATGGAAGCCTGATGGTACCACCGGCCGTGGCAATCGATCCCAGACTGCAGAAGGGACCATTAATGTCGCGATCCGTATGTGGGCTAACAGCCGAACACCGTCACTGTTCCTGCTTGATACACGACATGCAAAGAGTTCCCCACTTATCCCGGGAAAACACTACTAGATTCTCATGAACAGATGAACGAAAAGCCGAACCCAACATGTGAAGGCATCTCTACAAGAATATTTTATGTTCTCGAGCTGTTTCTCCCGGTAAATTTTGTCCAAGGAAGCAGGAATTTGAGTTCAGCAACTCATGCACCGCCGAGCTTTGCTGCTGAAATCATGGCAGCAGGCGCAGCCAGCTCTGTAGAGAGAGAATGAGTTCACCTGCTAGCAAAGGATGCGGAGGACAAATGAGATAGGAAAGTGGAAAAGAATTAGTAAAAGTAAAAGTAGGCGAGAAAAAGAAAAAGGAGAAAAGAAAGCGGCAAGATTTTAGGCCTTGTTGCCTCGGGTTTGGAAGACACCGACTTCACTCTAGCTGTGCAGAATACAGAGTACAAGCCTGTCTTCTCCTGGCTTCACTTGTCTGAGAAGGACTTGGAAGAGATCTACCTGCTCGCCTCAGAGGAATTGGTGTGGTGGTCGCCCTGTAAAGGATGAGCAAAGAAGACGACAGCAAGTTCCTGAAACTACAGGTAAACTAACCCATCTTCTTCTACTTTTTCTCTCTTCTGACGCGATCTTAGTCGATAGGCGGTCTGTGTCTTGTTTGGATTGTGATGTTTGTCTGGAATTTTTTATGCTTCGGAATGTTGCTGCACTCGCAGACATGCGTTGTGAAAGTGAACATATGCTGTGATGGATGCCAGAAGAAAGTGAAGAAAGTGCTTCATAAGATTGATGGTATGTCAATTTCTTCTTTCTGCTATGACTGGTGTTTCCAGATCTAGCTTTTTGTGCTAGTTTCTTGTGGTGATTCAGTGGTTTAGCTTCGCTTTTCTTCGATTTGAAATGGTATATGAAGTTGGGTCTGTAATGGTGAGTACAGGGGTATACACTACCACCATAGATGTGGAGAACAGGAAGGTGACTGTCACAGGGAATGTGGATCCTGCCATCCTCATCAGAAAACTCAGCAAGGCTGGCAAACATGCAGAGCTGTGGTCCGTGAAGGGTGGAAACCCGCAGAATGTCGCCAACCAGCTGCAAAAGCTCCAGCTTCAGCATGTCAAACAACAGCAGACCCAAAAGGGCGGCGGTGTTAGTAGTAAAGTAGGAGGAGGAGGAGGAGGAGGAGAAGGAGGAGGAGGAGGCAAGCATCAGAAGGGCCAGCAGCCACAGCTGCAACAGTTTCCGCAGCAGGCGAAAGGGTACAAAGATCTGAAGTTTCCCAATCTGAAGAACCTCAAGTTTCCTTTCAAGAAGAACACCAAAGAAGTCAAATTTAACCTTCACCCCGAGGATGAGAGGGATGACGGGAGCGACTCCGACGACGAGGATGATGAATTCGTCGAGGACTTGGATGACATGGATGGGATTCATGAGACCGTCCGTCGTGATCCCAAGATGACCAAGCTCATGAATTTCCAATCTAATGTTAATGGTTTGGCCAAAGATAAGAAAGGTCCTGCTACTGCTGGTAGCAAGGGAGGAGGAGGAGGTCAGCTGCACAACAAGGCTGTGGGTGGCAACAATGGTGGCGGAGGTAAGAGAGGCGGTGGCAGTGGTGGCGGTCATGCTAATCATAGCAATCCATTCCATGGGGGCAACAGAAACGACGGTGTAGGAGGGGGCCTTCCGATGAGCAACATGCAAACGCCCATGGGCCTCACGGGGACCTTTCCCGGCTACTTCCAGGGTGGGACGATGCTGCCGCCGGAGATGACGGCCGGTGCGAACCCCTACCAGCAGCTGCACCAGAGGATGATGATGAATGGTCCAGACCGCCCAGCACTGGGCTATGGTTATGGACGGCCGGCGTACATGGCGCCACCGCATCCCCACGGCGAACCCTACACCATGTTCAGCGATGAGAACCCCAATGGTTGCTCGATAGTGTGACGGAAGGAAGGACACGACGCCAGCTTGGTTCTGCCTATCTTGCTCTGTTCCTACTTGGTGTTTTGTGTGCCAGTGTGTCGATCCTTCTTCTTCTTCTTTATTTGCTTGGGCTTGGGGAATAGTTTACAGGTCTATAGATGAGGTTAGAAGTGCAGCTTTAGTAATATATCTCTCTTTGTCTTATGGTTGTCTTAGAGGATGCAGAACAATACATAATATTAAGTGCTTATGGTTTGGTTGGAGTGCAAGCGGTGGGTTCGTCATTTGTGGTGAGCGTGCGACAGCTTTCCCGAGGCCGAATCGGTCGTCGGAAAGAGAGCTTCTTCTTTTGCAGCAGAGGTGGGCGGTGTGGGTGATACGAGGCGGTGCACATCCTTTGTCTCGCTTTCCACCATCTATTTAACGTAACATGCTCTCATTCCCCCTCATCTCATCTCATCTCTTCTCTTTCCAGAACTGAATTCCATCCTATCATACATAGCTTTTAACAGTGATTCCATTAATAGAATTTTAATTGATGATTTTAAACCTAAAAAATAAATAAAAGAAAGTTTATATCAGCTCAACATAGATACAAGCTTATGTTTTTGCCTTCCAAGTCTTCCGACGAAGACATCACACCATGAAAGAAACAGATATCAACACAATACTACACATCCATGACTTGTTATTCTGGAAGGAAATGGCCCTCTGCCTCAACCCTGACATGAAGTGGGACTTCATTTCCTGTCCGCAGATCTTTCCACCTACACTCCATTAGATAGAGGAGAGTTAATTTAGTAGGTTAAATAATTTAATTAGAGTTAGTAGACAAATAATTTATTAGTTAGCAATTTTATTGGCCAAACATAATAGAGTCATTCATGTGATTAACTTTGTGACATATCTGGATTCTGAATTAAATCATTTAATTTAGAATTATTTCTTAGATTCTTATTGTATCTTCTGTTCATCACTTCATCAAGGTCCCATGGAACCAAGAAAAAAAGTACATGTTGCTTTGTGTATGACAACAAACCTAATGTAATGCTGGAATATATAGACTAAATGTAAACTATATCTCACAAAGTAGGAATCAGCAGTACCTTGAAAGTGACACCACATACGTCTTCCTCACTCCCTAGAACAGCAATCACCCTGTCCCCGGGGCTGTGATAGCTCTTCAGTCCTCCCAATGTATTCGAATAGAAACATCCTGCAATCCATTGATCAAATAATGGTGAGACCTTAGATTGAGGAAAATGAAGACGAGAAGAGAAAAGAATAGATAATTTTCTTCTTCATCGAGCTCTTGGTAGGACGTGCATTAATTTCCTTGGTAGCATCAGCTAAAGCAGGGTTAGCTGAAATTGGTGTTCGGTCATTCAATTACAGCAGCAGGAAGTGAGTCACACGAGAGAGGATTGAAACTGGCTGCCGCACTTACCTGGGGGGAATGGTGCGAGAGATTTCCCACATGATCCTTTCAGCACCTCCAGATCGTCAGAGACGGCGAGGCATCCATCAGATGTGATCCCCCAGAACAAGGGAACCCTCCCATCTACGTCCTGTTAAGTCTCGAGCATATGTAAGAGTTGCCGACGTATATCGGTACGTGCATGCATGCATGGAAGAAAGGCGTACGTACCGATGCGACGAGGATGGAGGAGGAATTCATGTCGAAGAGCACGAGGGCGAAACTGCCGGAGAGGTGTGAGAGCAACAAGTTGGGAGGGTATGGTGATCGGTCGCGGATGACCTTGTAGGCCTTGATCACCGTCACCGCCTCGTCGTCGCTGTTACGGAGGTCGTACTGATGCCTCAAGCTCCCCAGGTTGGTCAGCACTCCCTTGAAGAGGCACTGTATCGCATCCTCCGCTGCAAACCTGGACAAGAGCTTTGATCAGTCGTGTGACGCTTGTCGGACTTGTACATGCACGCATCCCATAGCTCAGGTGGACACGATATATGCCTATTAGGATGTATCAGCCAGTAGAGAGAGAGAGAGAGAACCTGGTATGAATGGAGGATTTGGAGATGGGGCGAAAAGCGAGGTGGCCGAAGCCACCGACCTTGAGCAACATCACCGGAGGTGTGCACTCGAGGAATCGGTTCACCAGCTCCGACGCCGGGGTCTTGGGGCAGGGCGTGCTGCTGCCGACCGCCATTAGTTCCCCCGGAACGTCCACCACATCTCCACTGAACACTCCCAACATGATGATCAACACCCAGCGACACACTCGACTGGTATGCGATCGATCGGACTATAACGAGAGGAGTCTCCAACTGTAACAAACAGTACAGTGAAGTGCGAGGGATCGTCTGCTTATATAGGCCATTTACCAGGCAACTTTTTTTTATAAGAATTAAAAAGTTGCATGTATCTCAAGATCTTACAGAGGGGGATGCACAGATGAAATTGAAGGTGGTGTTACGGATTGCACTTTATCCTCCCTTAAATTTGTGGACAAATCCTCACAAGGTTTAGATCAGTGTCAACTTGTCTTGTTCTTACGTTGCTTTTTCTTCTCCTCTTTTTCTCACTGGGGTTTTACCAGGTGGCCGGTATCGGACTAGGGTTTAATTGCTCAATAAATAACTTATATATCTCAGCATATTTGTAGGAGGAGGCATAAAGAAAAAACACTTTTAGTACTCATGATGTTTCTCTATTAGTGTACAAAGGTGTTGTGACCCTATTCCTAAAGAGAGAGTCATCTTTAATATTTAATTATTCTCAGAGAATACTAATAGTAACAGCATAAGCTAAACTCATGATTAAGTCATCATCTCTTTCCGTAGAAGCTTTTCTAGTTTGATTCAATCCAGCTAAAAACCATTTTTCCAGTCTGGAAATAATTACTGCAATCAATAATTATTTGCTAAGATATTTACCCCAGCAACATAATTACTTTCTTGTTTAGCTTGTGTTTGTGTGACAGACATAAGAAGCAAAAAGAAAATAATAGTGTCCACCATTATCTATATACATGGATCGGTAAATGGTTAGATTGCTTACCCAGCAGACACCCACAATGCTTGCTGTGTATTGATCTGTATACAAAACTCGAGCTATCAACATATCATTTTTCAGCCACAATTCCTGTGAATTATGAACAAAAGTATTTGCCCTTGCCTCAACAAATAATTAGTTGAGTTGATCCCAGTTCAACAGTCAGCAAGTCTAAATCTATTGTGCGAATCAAAATGAGCGAATGATCTTTTAGATGTAGAGCGAAATAAAGTTTGAGAATTAACATTAAATGGCATCATCCAAAGAATCTAATAAACAGCAAATTTAAAAGCACAAGAAATATGTAATGAACGACAAATTATTGCCAAAAATTGCATGGAAATATTTGTCTCCATCAAGGAGCTAAAATATAATAATGCCCGCAAACAATTTTGCCAACTTATGAGACAAACATCAGTAGAAGATTACACAAAGGTTGTGAAACAAAGTATGTTTAATGGATAAACCAAGCAATCAATAACATATTTGGTTTAAAAACCTCACGATGGGTAATACAGTTAAAAGTTAAGGTCAAACTCCCGTACGATCTTTCTTCATGGGAGTCATCTCTCTCTCTCTCTCTCTCTCTCTTGTTTCCTTTTCTTTAATATAAAAATTGGTATACGAGAAAAAAATCCCATAGTTCTTTTTTAAAGAAATATGTAATCATAACAAGACAAGGACAGATGCTCATGAAACACCACCTCTTATCTTCGACGTTTTGACTCTTTTCTCATCTCTGCCACATAGCTCTCCATGTTTCCTTTAACCCACAAACGTTTCTGGACAAGGTTACTCATCGTAGATTCATCTAGACAAGTAACAGCAGTTAAGATGTGTTAGTGGCGATGAAAAAGATTGATTTTGCAGTGAACTATGTGAATTTAGGGGAAGAATGCCTTTCGGGCATAATACTAGATCAAGTTCACTTGTCCAAATCATGAATAATCTAAAGCAATTTGCCAAAAGTTTGTACATATTTATAGATCAATAACATATTTCTTTGATCCTCCACAGTTTTAGAATTTAGTCCGAGACTTGAAATTAGTACTGAAAATAAAATACATGTGATTATAGTTGCATGCATCTTTCAATCTGACCCTTTAGGGGCAATCTGTAGCAATGTCTGCAAACAAAGCTGTGAGCTCACTGCTTTGACATCAATTGATGGCAACAAAGATAAGTCTCAACAGCAGCTTCTAAAACACATAGTAAGAGCACACTTAACTTCGATAATGCAATGAAAGAATGATTTGAGAATCAACTAAAAGACTTTTATCCAGAACTCAGCTCATTTTTCACACATATGATAGGAATATTTAACTTGAGTAACCATATACTTCTTGAGAAAGCTATTTATTATATCAAAAGCCATATGACAAGGTGAATGTCCACAAGTGCTCAACTGAAAGCGGTGGAGACTAACAATAAATCTAGTGTCTTTCTGAAAAAGTGGAGAACAAAAGAAGAAGCAAAAAGGAAAGCAAAATTGAAATAATTTACATGGGAAGATTATGGCAATATTGGATTTGGTTAGCCAACAATCATATCCATGCTCATAGTAGGACTTTTACCATCCTATGGCCTAGACATATAGAAAGATGGCTACAGTAATGGGTAGCGATGTTAGGATAAATTCCTTCCCCCAATAAGTTCCTTGTGAAATACAGCATTTGATTACGAAAATATTATTGAACCTTTAGACCAAGGTTCACCGTACAGAGCTGTACCGCTCGGTATGGGTGGTATGTACTAGTCCAAAAGGGTACCGATATGAGGACTACTCTATACTGGGCGGTACCTATTACATGACCCCATATCGGGTGATACGGGGTTTGTATCGATTGGTAATGATCGAAATTCGATCGTTACCGATCAAGGGTTGAGATTGCACTATTTCAAATGGTCAATTTGACTGTTAGAACCATAGGAAACCGTTTAAACCCTTTCCTCTCCTCTTTTTCAACCCATTTCACTCTTCTAATTTTTCAACTCTCTTAACTCTTTCTCACTCACACCTCTCTCTCATCCAAGAGGATCCTTTACTTGATGAGGCGGGAGATCCTCCACATCCTTCGCGTTTTATCACCGAGACAATAGAAGAAAATAAAACATATCCCAAGCAAGAGGAAGATCCCCCCCCGGTCAGAATGTGGCAGTTGGAGTCGGAAAACATCAAGTCAGACTGCTCGAGGAACTAGAGATACCCAACCACCACAGTGTTCCGCCTAACGTGGAAAGGCAAAGGCTAAGGGAAGGCAGTAGCATCAGTCGCACTATTGGAAAGAATCGAGTCGGGTGACAGGACACTTTCTCAATCACATTCAACAACCTGTTCGGTCCAAAGATATGGCAGCAACGTGGATAGCAATGCCTTGACCGATGAAGGCGACGACGCTGGGGAGTTGATGGTCCCATCTACACAATTTAAGAGTGGTGCATGGACCGAGAAGCAGTATTTTACACGTCACCCAAGATTCAAATCATGGAGCTCAACATGTTACTAGTCAAGTTTATACACGGAAAGGGAAGGGGAAGGCAGTGGAGCCTACACGACGTAGACACAGTACGAAGCTCATTGTATTCACAATCGTCATATTATGAAGAATCTTACGGCCAACAGTAGTACGGTGATAGTTGGTCATACTTCTTCGAGCAATAGTACAATTATCGATTTTATGATATGGAGCAACAGATCAGTGGCAAGAGTAGAAGTTTTGACATTCTCCATGCTTTGCACGAATACAAGCCACAATCGTCCTTGCCTCAGGAGCCGTCTCGAACACATGTGGTTCAGAATGATCACACTACGACCATCACCACATTGATGCACTAATGACATACTGTCACGGACAAACTTTGAAACAGGGTGTTTGATGTAATGCTTATGTATGTCCATGTCGTTTGGCATGTTCATGCCTTGTACAGCAGGTAGAGGGGCGGCCGAAGGCTTAATAGTCCCATGTTAGTTGGGTTGGTGGCCTCTTTAGGCTTGTAAATAAAGGTTGTGTCATGTGGACACGGTCGAGAGCTTTTCGGTCTGTAATGGACCATTTT